TCAAAGCTCAGAGAGTGCATCAGGGTATGATATTGATGCACTTTTGACTCATGAGTATAGCTTAGTGTAGTACTCAAAACCATTTTTGCCATAGTACAAACATAGTTGAAAAGAGCTAAAAATGCTCACAATACATTTTGCCGACTTTTGCCATTCTGCCAATTGCCATTCTGCCGTTCTGCCATCTGCCAAGAGGCCAATTCCTTTCTGCCCATGACACTAACTGTATGGAACGTACTTGGCTGGCGCGATTATCTCGGATGGCACGTTCCTATTCTGACGCCCGTTCAATGACTACCCTCGACATTATAATAGACCTCGTGATCATGAGGTCGATGGTATTTTCGTCGTCTTCGATCAGACGCGCGACTGAAATCTACACCTCAAACAATAAATTCGAACAAAAGGCTCATTTTGGTTGGATGTATCCGCCATTGAGGAACAGTGTCTTCATTTGTTGATAAGTTTGTGTAATGCGGTCCAAGACACAAGCCTCGAACTAAGGCCCCGCCTTCGAGATCAGCTTGGCGTCTGATTGCACAGATCTGCCGGGGTTGTCCGGCTAATCTGCGCCACCGCGAAACGAGTCCTTCCGCTCAGCCACTGCGCTCAGCCTCAGTCTCCGGTCACCCGATGTACTCCACCGGCTCCATTCCCGCACTGCCAGCGCCTGCGCACCCGGGAGCCCGAAACATTATCGCAATGCTCCACAAACGCGAGTTTAATTAACTAGAATTTGTATCTTTTCACCGCAGTCAACATAAACGACGGATCACAATCATGCATCGTGCTCGGACCACGCGTATAATTGCATATGGTGCTTCCTCCGAGATCATACTGCGGAGAATATTCCGGGGTGCTGGAGAGTTTATTGCATCTCGATCCGTGTTTAGACTTTGCCTCGTGCTCAGATTAATTTTGCTACTAACTACTGCAAGCCAGCTCCGAGGTTCACATGTAGGTCCCAGTGTTGGTTTACCCTGATTTGACAGAACTTCGAATGTACATTCCTTGCAACCATTGAGCCTGATGGGAACTTGCGCAATAAGTCTTCTCGCTCAGCGGAGATACAGATACTATCATTCCTGCTCTCGACCTTCTTTGCTCCGCATCCAACACGCTATCCATCAATTCGGTCGCGATCGCTGGACAACGCGAAGACTTCCATGTTGATAACTTTTAGTTCCCTGGGCGGAGAGCCACACCGTTTACCCTCGCTTACCTCGGAGTTTGCCTACTATTTCATGGATTTCAACTTTTTTCTTGATCTAGAACAGTACGAGGTTTAGACTACCAGCCACTCCGAGCTCCACGCACTTTCATTCTCCCTCATGGAAAGGTTGATACTTGATTATGATAAGATCAAGGTTTTCATAATTTGACGCCCATCACCGTTTCTTTGTTCCGCTCAAAGATATGTTGCGTCTTCATCGGGGGAGGGCAACTTAATCCGGCGAGACTTCCTCTCGCATTCTTCGACTTCAACGCCACCTCAGGCCTCAGACTTCTCTGTTGTACTACCCGGAGGCAATGCGCGACCATCTACTTACCCACACTCTTAATCCCACATCATGACGAGTTTTCTGACATGGGTTCTCTTTTTGACTGCATTTCTGATGTCGAAGAATCGGTTGAACTTTGGGCGCGCCTTCTATAACCGTCGAGCATACACCCCAAATGATGCATGATGATCTGCCGGTCATCCTATCAAAGTTTAAGGTGCGTTTCATCCCAAGTGTTGAAACGTTGACCCACTGGGGTGGCTGCTACACGTTGTTTCAGGCTCCCTAGAGGTCTGATGCACGCGCCTCCTTGTATCGTCCTTACCAAATGAGTAAGTGACTTCCGGCATGATCGTCGATATTCTTGTTGTAATCACGTTCTTTCCGACACGGAATGTCTACAGCCTAGAAGTTTGCTATATCTATGTCAATTTCACCACATACCTTTGACCCTGCCTACGAGCGCTGCATTTGATTCCGCGGACTTTATCACACATCCGCCATTGAGATATGTGTCTGGCAGTCGTGGGCTTTGGGGTTTGGAAAGACCTCGATGATTGAGGGTACATACTTTGATTTGACTTCTGCTTGACAGAAGTCACTATCTGGAATATGAATTTGATTTACATGTTTTTCGCTCACCCTAGCCCGGATATTATGTATCATGTGATGAGTTCGTCACATTCGTAAGTGGCGACGAAGCTCTCAACTACGCCCATTCCAAGTTTAGCTTTTGATTGGTCATTGGTCTAGTGTGCTCACCTCGCTTGCTTCCATATGTGTTCAGATTGGAGTCGGACCGACGCCGAAGTACGACACGACATCCCCGGCACAACTTATGAGTGATGAGTGCCCTGTTACCCATCCGAAGCACTTCGCCGAAGTTCCAAATGTTGACAAAACAACAAGGTACGTGCAGTAAACACGTAATGACAAGACCTCGAAAACCTCTTCAGCTACAGATTTGCCTCTGGTTTACCCGAGCAGGAACTTATCGGCGGCAACAAGCTACTATTGGCTGATGCTCGCTAACGCCAATGTGAACGGCACTGACGACTCGTTTACACTGAAAGCGCCACCTAGGTCCGAACCTCAATCAATTTAACGTACAACTAAGGTTGTTCGTTGCCTATCTCTTTGCTTGCCCAGAACCTCCGTCACCCCCCGTGCTTATCTAACTTCCAAGTCAAGTTTCATTAGTACATACACCCTGCACCGCACCAAACTCTACACCAAACTCTACTGGTCCGTTGTTTTCGTTGCCCTGGCCTTCTCCGGTGATTGAAGATGTGCTTTTGGTGCCCACACCCTCGTATGGCCACTATCGTCATTCTCTGTCAAAGCCCGCCGACAACGGACAGACCGTCATCGAGTTATTCAGCATCGATGACTCCGGCCTGAACCGCATCTTCCCCAGATATAGAGGATTGTACTACTCGTATCAGCGTCGCCAGGTATCGCAAGACACGACCCTGCGTCGGTACCACCCCCATCACATCATCATCCTTGCACTCGCGAACAGCAAAATTACATACGTCGTCCGTTTCAGGATTCTTTCTTGAAGTTGGACGGGCATCAAAAACATAGAGACGGCGTAAATTTTTCTTATCTTGTGTTGTTGTCTTAGAGAGTGATCAAACTCCTTACATAAATCACTTTTCCTCTTATGCTATTTGCTATAAAGCAAAACAAGCACTCCGTCATTTTCTAGTGACTGCTTTGGGAGGGTCCGGGAGGTCACGCTCTGGTGCAGGGGTCCGAGCCAACATGAGGTTTCGAGGCAGCGGTACCGGAGTCCACGAGGTTGTAAATTCGGCCTAGTGCGTGTCAGGCATGGTAGGGCGCAGGTTGAAGATCATGGGTGGTAGTAGGTGGCGGGAGACTGCGGTGGGCGGTCGTAGACGCGCAATAAGCCTATACACGAGCGTCGAGTGGTAATTTGCTTAACGAGCGGTGCTGGAGGTCTTGACCTCTGCCGAATGTGAGGTTACTAATGCATGTACCTTGTTCTTCCCAACATTTGGGAACCGAAGTGTAACAGGGCACTACGACTCCCATCCCACCTTATTACGTTCCATGGAATTTGAATCTCTCCGTACTTAGTTGGACTATGTCCCTTTCTTGGATACTCGGCGCTCCGTCCCGTGCTGTCATTATTATTTACCCGCTCTCCAACCACCATGAGTACTAACGACACGCAGCAGAGTTCAACTCGGACTTGTTCAAGTTTGAGGTTGAACCTTATGCTAAACAGGCATACTTAATTGATAATAGGCCTGCACGTGAACCCACCTTCCATGGAATCTGGAAGTGCTTCGTGTTCTGATAAGTTGCAGATCATTTAGGTAAGTTAAGAATGTTTTAGGTCTAGCTGTGGGACAGGACTACTTGCAGGACTAATGATATCTCCAATCATCTCCGGTTGAGATTGTTCAACCTTCGAAACGACTGGAACAAACCGTCTCCAAGTTGACTACCGCAGTCAGGTACTATTCGTTCACATTGGTGTGTATTTATGTCTTGCCTTCAGTTCTATGAAGCAGTTGGCACGACGTCGTACTGATGCCCGGCCCCATTTTCAACGTTCGTTGCATAGTAGATTGTTCGGAGGATCAGCGCTCAGCGTGGGTACCATCACCACGACTCCACGCCGCTGGTCCGAGCAACATCTGGATGGGCCGAGAAGTCATGCGGCCTACCGATTAGCAGCCATATTTCAAATGAGACTTGCTCCTCATGAGAACGCCCAATACGACGAGATCTAGACGATGGATTATGCCACTCAAGCTCTGTTAAAAGCCTGCCTTGCGCCTTTGGAACCATGGGCGCAGCATCCAAACAATAAGACCTCCAGATCGATATGTGACGGTCCATAGATCATCTCATACCCGCGCATATTCGTCATATCCGTGAAAGCCTGCCGTGAACGCGGGGTACAAAAGGGACTTGTTGGAGTAATAGAAGGTAATGTGTCGATGCTGCAATTTTGAAGCATTTATTTATGTAAAATCCTCATCATACTAGGGGACATAACAAAGACCGTGATAATCATGTGTTCCAACTTCCAAGTTTCAGGTCGCTATACAACCCCAGAGGAGTGTGGTTCCCCCCGCCATATGATTTGCACAGCGGCCCGAAATCAGAGTCGACCAAGTCATCTGTACAACATGAGTACTATGTTCTGTACGAGTCCGGTCCGCCCCAGCCTGGGAAAGGCTAAGTTAAGCGCGTTCGACTTCGATTGTAGTACATAAAAGGCACTAGCCTCGCGTACTGGGCCTGTTCTTCGAGTCAACTCCGAATCGATTGGCATTTGATGCTATCGGTACTGTGAGATGAGTGAATACTGCCTAAAGGCATATACACTCTTATGTGCTGGAACTAACAAGAGTAATACCAAGGATGCAGTTTGTGTCGATTTGCTGGCTGTTCAAATTGCAAACGCTGACGTCTACTGGCAGCGGTTAAATGGTTCCACTTCATCCCATGATCGATTGATGAGCATCGATTTCCTTATGTACATATTACTATTATGCAGGTCTAAGACCGCATAAAACTTCTCGACCCATCCAGCCGTTACCAGCCACGCCGACCTTCTGCACGAACCCTCATCTCAACGAACGTCAAAGATGAAGAAGAGCAGGCCCGAGTCTCCACTCGTTCACCGTGACGACATAGAAAGCTATGGCTCGATGCAAACACATCAAGATCATGATGATGGAGCAATCGTGAACGAATCACTCAGCTTCACCGCCAGGAATGCTGGGATTTTATTGATCATATACTCCCAGTTTTTCTTTGCTTCCATGGATATCTCGGTGAAGCTACTGAACGGCCTGGACCCTCCGGTGCACGCACTTCAGGTGAGATTTCTCCATCTTTGGTGTTCGAATATGGAGTGAAACCAATGTAAACAGATTATCGTGATTAGGATGGTGCGCCACACAGTCCTCGACTCGAATGTGTATTGATTTGTCTCAGGGCATCACCTTGATATGCTGCGAGATATACATGTTTGTCGATTGTTTTTCTAGGCGACGATTCAAAACTGATGATATGAAGGACTGTTATGGGGATCCCTGATCCCATAGCTGGCCCTAAAGGTGTTCGAATGATGCTTTTCATCCGTGGTGTCACTGGGTGGGTGCTGATATACTCGCGCAGCCTCAAACTTACCAACATTCTGTTTCCCAGGTTTTTTGGGCTATCTGGCATGTACTGGTCACTCCAGTACTTGTCTGTCGCAGATGCCACAGTCTTGGTTTTTTTAACACCTCTTACGGCAGCGGTGGCTGGATCTGTATTTTTGAAGGAGAGCTACTCTGTCAAGCAAGCTATCGCGGGAGGTGAGAGTTACAATTTGTATTTTATAATTTTTGATTACTTATTTGGGATAAATCCCTAGTTTTCAGTCTCCTCGGTGTCATCCTTATAGGCAGACCCGCATTCCTATTTGGCTCCCTGGATGTTGTTCCTCAAGGACTCTCAGACGTGGCCCCTGCGCAAAGGCTGATGGGTGTTATGTGGGTACCATTACGCGTACTTCGTCCCGCTCAACCTACAATTTATCTATTTTCGGCAGGGCCTGTATGGTCAGCGTACTTGGAAATACTGGAGCATGTACGTATTGTCATTGACCTTCTGATGGTAATGGCCGCTTTAATGGTTTTAATAGATACCTCGATACGCGCAATTGGGAAGCGCGCTCACCCGATGCATGTAATGTCATACTTTTCATTATGGTGCACAATTATATCATCTTTGGGGTGTGTCAATGCATATCTGCATTTTACGTGACAATTCATCATTTGTAACAGGATGGTTGTTTTTGATATTCCCGTTGTATATCCTACGTCATGGATGTGGATACTTCTTCTGCTCATGGTCGGTATCTTCGGCTTTGCGGCGCAGGTGCGTACATCAATAATTCTACATTTGCCTACTAGTAGTTTACTATGATTTTAGACTCTTTTGACGATGGGACTACAAAGAGAAACTGTGTCGCGTGGTGTCACTGGAATGTATGCTCAGGTGGTTTTCGTCGTGGTGCTTGAACGCCTGTTCTTCGGAGTTACACCGTCTTTACCGTCGGTTCTCGGCGCTGCCATCATCATGTCCTCTGCTTTCTATGTCGTCGTGAGTGGTTACTGGCTCGTTGCCAGACTTCTGTGCTGATGTAAATTTCAGATGAAAAAAGCAAAAACCTCACCAAGATAGTGAGGCTGACAATGCTGCAACGCAGAAGTGTGGGGCCCTGCTTACTCCGAGGAGTCGGATATATTGATCCTTCTGAGTCTTGCACTTTCTAAAAATACTCCAGCACTTGTACATTTAACGACCGTTATTATGTCCACTTTTTACGTTGTGGTGGGAAGTCATCCTCGCATGGTGTAACAAGAAGGACTGCAGGGGGAACCAAGGCCAGACCTATATAGCGGGAGGCTACGGCCCTATCTATGCAGGACCGACTACCACACGCCGCAGGACTCCTGCTCCTGCGCCAGGACCCCTGCCACTCCAGACCTGATCTGTTCTGCCAGAGCACCCCGCTACAATGGTTCATGTAAGTTCACTATTAGTCGACAGAACGGGAAACTACACTATAGACAGCACTGCCAGCAGTACTGTTTTCTAAGTTCACGGACTCCTGCAGACTCCTGCCCGGTCTTAATGCAAATGGATAATCCGACGCAGTCCGAGGCCGCTTAATTTCTTGAACTAGGCGGGAACGTCACGTGTATGTATGAATGGCGCCCGATATGCCCGATAACTTAAATTTGTACCATCAATTCAGACGTCGGCTACATACAAGTTCAACCTAAGTACTCCAGAAGGCGGTGCTGTCACACAGCCCATACATCACTAGCCATTAGTGCAGTGTTCTCAGGCTGAATCGGCGAAAACAAACCTCGAAGATGAGCAACAACAAGTCTCCTCTCATCCACACCACTGCAGGACACGACTATGGTTCGACACGACCCATTGTTGCCACATCCCAAGAGGATGAAGCAATCTCTGTACAGCGCGTTCTCCCAGGTTTTGTTGTCAATAACGCCGGGATGCTATACATTATAGCTTCCCAGTTTTTCTTCGCATCCATGAACCTGTCGGTGAAGATGTTAAACAGCCTGGAGCCTCCGGTGCACGCGTTTCAAGTTAGCCCAGTTTCCTTATCTTTATTCCCCGATTGGAGCGAATCTCAATAAAACAGGTTATTGTAGTCAGGATGGTGCGTCAAAGAGTTTTTATGAACTGCACTCGTTTGAATATCGATTCCTTCCCAGGGCATCACGTTGATATGCTGTGTGACATATATGTACGTCGGTTACTTTCCAGACAATAATACCCTGCGATTGACGACATGAAGGATTGTCACGGGCGTCCCAAATCCGATCATTGGTCCCAAGGGTGTTCGAACACTATTAGTATTCCGTGGGATGAGCGGGTGAGCATTGATCTGCTTGCATGACCTCAAGTTTTGGTGATCGTTTGATCGCTCAGGTTTGTCGGATTATGTGGACTGTATCTGTCGCTTCAGTATTTATCTGTTGCAGATGCGATAGTCTTGACTTTCTTGACACCTATTACAACGGCGGTCGCTGGGTCCCTCCTCCTTAAGGAGGGCTACTCCGTCACTCAAGCGGTCGCGGGAGGTGAGAGTTATGCTCTGAATTCTCTCTTGTCTATGGATACTCAAAGGTGTCACTAGTTTTCAGTTTGCTTGGTGTCATCCTTATCGCTCGCCCCCCATTTCTATTCAACCCCATAACAGCCGCTAATTCTGACGGGCCCGGAACAACACCGGCGCAAAGACTGGGGGCTGTTGGGTGAGCACCGTCATTTATACACTATTTCGCCATTTCACCATTCGATGTTCGGTAGGGTAGCTATGATCGGTGTCGTTGGAGCCACTGGGGCATGTACGCATTGTGATCGACCTTCTCGCGGTAATGGCAACTTCAATCATTTTCACAGATACCTCGATTCGCGCAATTGGGAAGCGAGCTCATCCGATGCATGTAATGACATTCTTTTCTTTGTGGTGCACCATCATGGCATCTTTGGGGTTTGCAAATACATCCCTGCACATTTACATGTCGCATTAATAATTTGCTATGTAACAGGATGGTCGTCTTCGATATTCCTGCTGTATATCCTAGATCATGGAGATGGTCACTTCTTTTGCTTATGGTTGGTGTCTTTGGCTTCCTAGCACAGGTTAGTTCCGCGTGACCTTCCATTTACCCACCGGTGATTCACTACCTTTCCAGATTCTCTTGACGTTGGGGTTGCAACGAGAAACAGTATCACGCGGTTCCACCGGAGTGTATATCCAGATGATTTTTGCCGTAGTGCTTGAACGCCTAATCTTCGGAGTTGCACCGTCTTTACTGTCGGTTCTCGGCGCCATGATCATTGTGTCTTCTGCTCTCTGTGTTGTCGTGCGTGATCATCGTGTTCTGTCACATGACTCCTTTACTCATCTCACTGCCAGTTGACAAAGCGAGTACCCACCCGCGACAGCACTACTGACAGTACAGCGTAACATAATGGACGTAATATACTGGATTCCTATCCCTTCTCAGGCCGCACTCTTGAACTTTCACAGGTTTATATAAAGCCTGTAATTGCCTCCCAGTATGAGAGCTTGTAGCACTCTGTTATGTCTTCTATTTTGCTCCGTCTGCTCATCTGCCTTCGGACAAAAGTCTGAACACCATTCTCGTGTTCACAGCTGAGATTGACGGCATCACCTACTGGTGCTCACCTATCCCTCTATCCTAGTACTGTTCGTTCTGCCCCCATCATGTGGCATGCATCGTAACTTGTATTCTTTTTCTTTATCGCGCGGTAAGTTATTGACGCTGCTATCGTTTTGGCATATTCTGCTTGTCTCGTCGTGAGTGGCCACAGTGCTCTCGTTTTCTGTCACACAACTTACACCACCACCATCACCAAAGCGGAAACCTACCAGATGTAGCGTCAGTGACAATTTGCAAGGAGATATAGTCTCGTTATTACTGGAGGCAACATCGACTCTACAGTCTAGTCAGCACTTGAGAATAGGCTAAGATCCCCGTTACTTCGCTGGTAAGTGGTAAATTTCGGTTAGCTCTGAGAGGTTCTAATATTAACCATCGACTTGGTTAATATACTACAGGTTGTTCTCCCACCATCGCATAATAATGTTCTCATTGGTCACGTTGAGCAGTGAGAATTTTCTCGACTGTCAGCTGGTTTTTATTATTGTACCGTCCACTAAAATTGTGTAGTTCTCAGTCAGCTTATGATGTATATAGGGATTGGAGCATGCTCGAGATGGGATTGGCATTCATCTTGAACCCACGCGTCGCTCCAGTCCTAGGCTAGTACATTCAATTCCGCTCATTGCATCCAGTCGAACGTCGCTGTAATGAGCGCGCTCAATGGCTACATCGCCCTATCCCAGAGCCCAACAGAGGACCAAACTTTCTCGGATGATATTGATCTCACATCTTCTCCGCCAACACGACGACGTCGGAATTTTGGTCCTCAGTCTAGATGGTTCGAGAGTTTGCAGCTGCGATGGCGAGAGATGTCATTGCGCGTGATCGCCTTTGTCGAAACGAACTTCGGGATGCTGTTGATTATAGTGGCGCAATTCTTTTTCGTATGCATGAACCTTGGCGTCAAGCAGCTGAACAGTCTTGATGTGCCCATGCACACCCTTGAAGTATGTTCGCTTGTATATATCCTAAAAACTAGGCTTATGATTCTGTAGCTCATTGCAGTTCGTATGGTTGGTGTTTCGGTATTTCCTGGCGGATACAGATATTGATTAGGCTGTTCGCCTGAATCATCAGGGCATCACCTTGGCATGTTGTGTATTATACATGTACGTCGTTCAAGTAAAGGCTATGTCCATCCTCAGGTTCATATATGTTTTGACAGGGTTGCAATGAAGATTCCAGATCCTATCCTTGGTCCCAAAGGCGTGAGGCTGTTGCTAGTGAACAGAGGCTTGTGCGGGTGAGTTTTGATTTGGAGAATGTATAACGCAGTCGCTAAACTTCCCTCAAGTTTCTTCGGTCTGTTCGGGATGTACTATTCCCTGCAGTACCTTTCATTAGCAGATGCGACGGTGTTGAGTTTTCTTGCGCCACTCTCAGCAGCAATAGGTGGATACATCGTCTTAAAGGAGCCCTATTCGAAGCGTGAAGCATTTGCAGCAAGTTCGTGCAATCATCTTATCTTAATGTCTTTCTGACACTTAATCACACTTGTTGACATTCATTCCTTAGTCGTGAGCTTGCTTGGTGTCATTCTAATTGCTCGACCGCCATTTTTGTTCGGTGATACTAACAGCGTAAACTCAGACAGCAGTGATGCGGCTTCTAGCCTAGCTACCGCGATAGATAGGATACGAGCTGTCTGGCAAGTTGCCACTCTTTTTGAATGTTTTCTTTACCTCAACCTTCTTCACAGCGTCGCTGTTTTTGGAATTGTCTTAGGAACTGGTGCCTGTACGTCGTTGTTGCCTATGAGAGCTGCTTCAAGATAACTGTGTTACAGTATTGTCAATGCGTGCGATAGGCAAACGCGCTCATCCGATGCATCTCATGATGTTTTTCTCTACATGGTGCACAATCGTCGCCTCTGCTGCGTGAGCTCATTGCCTTGTCTTTGCCTCTCCCTCTGATTGGTGTGAAGAATGTACTTCATGAAGATCCCAATCGTTTACCCTCACAACTGGAAATGGGCTGCTATGCTCATTTTCATTGGACTTTCGGGTTTTTTCGCGCAGGCAAGTTGTTGTCACTGTCATTTATTTTGCCTGCTTAAAGTCATTTGAAGACTTTGACTACGATCGGCTATCAACATGAGACTGCAGCACGCGGCTCTATGGGTCAATATGTACAACTCTTATTTGCTGGAGTCCTGGAATACGTGATCTTCGGCACAGTTCCTTCGGCGCTATCGCTTATCGGAGCTGCTATCATCATGGCATCAGCTATATACGTTATTGTGCGTTCTCATTTTTTGCGATCTTTGCGTTGTGGATTTCAAATACTTCTGCTAGATTTCAAAGAAGGGTTCACCGAAGGAGCCTGAGGCGATTAGCCTCAGAGAGTCGGACTCCGCTCTTGAGGAAGGCCTGTCGTATACTGAATCGCCAAACACGACGATTGAACTTGCTGAGACGGGCTCAAGCAAGAGGATAGGACATGAAGACTTGAAGGAAAAGCCGCCACCTACGTGAAGTTTATGTTTTTAAAACCTCCTATGATTACAACTACCTTTATGGCGGCTGAAGATGATGTATTTAAATGACCTTGGATGCTACAAATGTCTATGTCTATGTCCTGTGTTGAAGTGCTCACTAGATGGCTCGATATGAACAATCAAAACGATGCGAAGGCGTTTCGGGTTGAAGCGTATACCTTTTAGGGTGATCGCCCCTCTCCGGCATCACGTGATTTTACAGATCTCCAGCGACTTTGTTGATTGATTCCCTTTGTGTTGCTTCACCAGTATTTATGCCGATGTTTTTAAATCGAAGGTCTTCTATCCCAGCTCGAATTCAAACCCCCAGTACGCCCTGTAGTTTCCCACCGTGCACAGACCCTCGAAGTCCTAGAACAAGGTATATCTAACCTAGACTACTATCTGTCGACCTTCAAGCTTCAAGTTGCCTTTCAACGACCGTCACCTCATCGTTGGCTTGTCATAGGTTGCAATACATATATATATATATATGCATGGAGCCTGAAACGGATTACTATCAGATTGGGGGCTTCCGAGCTCACTCTGAAGAATGGTGAGAGTACCTCGTATTGAATAATCACGTCCACCCAACGGTTCTCTAGGTTCCAGATGTACGATGACAAACCAACAATAGATGCTATCATGAATTACGAAGGTCGCGAACTCAGGCCTGGAGGTCCTGGCGCGCCTATCGAGTTGGTCTTAGGTACTAGCATATTCTGAAGTTTACCCGTCGCACGTCGACTTACATTGCACATTACAGGAATTCTGCATAATGGTGCTTCATACGTCCTCATGACATCTCATCAAATGTGGGCATTCACCCGGAAACACCGCTTGCGGCCTCCCAGAAGACCGTGGAAAGTGGACAGATTCGCCTCGCTATCCCCGATTTATTTTGCTACAAAGAATGACCTTCAGGACAAGCTCAAGACCTACAAGGTGAAATCCCAAAAGAACAAAAAGGATAAGGAGGACAACAGCCCTGCCAACCGAGGTTTATTCAACTTGGGGAGAGGGGCGCTCCTGGTAATCCCCGGGCAGACTTTGAGAACCAGAGGTTCGACGGGGATTGACACATATTTGATTTGTGACTAACGGCTTTAAAGAGTTTTGTATCGGATGTTTATGAAAAGCGCCACTGCAGGAGCCCTTGGACTAATCAATCCACCTTGGGCTAATGCAGTCAGAGTGATCTCAATAGTCGTAAACACGTGGCACAAGGATAGACGTCGTGAACGTTATGACAGTCCCTCTATCATCGATGTCGGATGGACAGATGTGATGATGCCGCAGCATGTGGAATCTGGAGAAGTAACAGAAACTGTACACATAAAGATGAAAGGACTCGCACTGAAAAACGAGGATCAGAATGCGGTACCACTTTTCACCTACATTCATATGTGTTTTCTGACGATTTTCTCAGCCCTTTGAGCATGGAACCACCAACCAGGAGGGCACGGTGGATATTCTTTACTCGGAGATGCGAAGACTCTTCACACATGACGCCACCAATGTTCCGCTTGTAGTGCTGGTCCACGATGAGGAGATGGTGCGCGGAGTGCTTGCACGTTCCGGAATTGATGTTGGGTCATTTACCCCTGTCGCTGCGCTGTTCCAGCGTGGTCAACCTCAGGTAGCACGTCTCTTCGTATCACCAGGGATTGATCTGAATTACACATGCAGAAACTATTACACCGAAGGTCCTCCAGATCACCTTCCCCGCGACGCTTGAACGCTGGCCCGTCTCATTCCTCACGTGACTATGAACGACGCTGGAAACACGAACCCCGCGATGATGTCAAACCCTTTTCTGTGAAACAAGAAGGCCGATCGTCGTCATCCGTATGCATCAAAGAAGATGGCAAGAAACTAGGACCCTCACAACAAAATGGTACTATTCCCCTCCCAGCTGGATGTATCGTGAACGTGCAGAACATGGTCAGGACTTTGATGCGGGTTGCTCAAACTGGCCCTAGCGTGCAGGCGACAGCGCAGCGCATGAACATATCAGCAAACCCACGTCTCCCTTGTGCAGGCAATGAATGCCAGTAGGTGTCCAACTCTCATGACCACTTTTCAACAGATTTCACTCATGCACAATCTAGCTTGCTCTTGAACATGTGGATTTCAATGATAGAGGGACGCCCAATTGACGAGCAATGGATGGACCGCCTAGCGCACCCGATCCAGCCTCCTTCGCCAACTATAGATCCAGTGCAGCTCGGTACAGACGAGGACATCGACCCGAACGACTATATACCTCCATCGATGAGAAATGCTGGCGGAACGGCTGCCCAAGAAGACGACTGGTCCGATGATGATTGGTAGAAGTGATATTGGACAACCCCACTAAGTTTATCGTTGTTCTCGCTTGAGTGGTTCGCTAATTTTGCCATCACGAGCTATTGAGCGTCTGATAATATGAAATGGACAACGGACCACGATGTATACCACACCTGTTGTGACAATACGTTGTAGAAGCTTGTAGAAGCGTCATCGTTGATTACAATGCGTTTGTGTAGGAGTATTCGAATTGGAGGTTTCACTACTCAGCTTCAAATATATTCAATGTTGTTGTATCCGGATATTGCTAAGTACTTGATTGCAATCTCAAGCTACGGTTCTAGGGAGCAGCCCTCGGGCAAAATTTTAGAGCAGACGATGCGAGAAGTTTGATAATGAGTGACTGAGACTTGACTGCTGATGCAGATGACTGAGTCGGAACAAGAGGTTCGTTGTGCCACGATGTTTGCTTACTCACGCGTAGACTCAATTCTTACGGCTGAGGCAGTTTTCAAGGCACAAGGCATCAATACATCACTAGATCACAGTCTCGATCGAAGACACAGCATCGTCATGATGACAAACTACATACATGTTTTCAACGAGGTGGAGAGAAGGGACGCTAGTCAGATTAAACGAAGGATAGTCGAAACATAACGGTAAATGTCAAATAAATCGCGTGTAACATATGTCAAAACCGGCCCACGTGGGACACAGGACAGCATGCAAAGCCTTCCATCAAGAACTTTCAAATTCAACCTTGTCCTTGAAGGATGTGCGCGACAACGGAGAGAAGTTATTCACTCCCATTTTCACGTCATAATCCCCGTTACCGCCCAACAGCGCTGTATTGTCAGAGGTATTGCCGACGCCAAAGTCTTCTTCCGCGACTATGGCGCCCGTTCGTTTATCAAGACGGAAGGTAAGACCGGCGAGGTTGCTTTTCATGCGCGATACGTCGTCATAGGGCAGAAGGAGATCGCCAAAGCCAGAACGCGATGTGAGGGCTACGATGGTTGCGATCGAGCCAGGTGGACTGGTCAACCAAAGATTTCTACGAGAGCGCTTGTGCAGGACGTGAACGATAAGGGATGCAATTCCGATGCAAATGAATAATATGGAAAGTAGGTGTGCTGGTAGACTTCTGAGAAGGCGGGGATTGTCAGAAATAGGATGATGATCGTGGTAGAATTAATGCGTACTCAACGAACAACCTTGGGAGATCTGATGTCAGCTGGGCAGGGATAGTCTCGTTGTTTGGCAGGAAATAGATGGTTTGCGCGGCAATAGAAAGATATTGTGTCTGAATGTGACAAAAAGAGTCATTCGGTCACTTGAGTTTTTCGGATGGAACGGTTCTCCTTACATAGATCTTCTTTGTGGCATTGACGAATCCATAAGGATCATCGAATACAGATTGTGGACCGTTTGGTTGCTGCGAAGCGAAGTGATATATAGCTCCTGGAATACCTGAGTTGATGGCGAGAGACCTGGCGATAAGGTACGTGTTGTTGCTCGCATCAAACATGACCCTGAAAACATTCGTTAAGACAGTTGGCGACGAAATAAGCAATAGACTCGCCCATTGAAAGCTTCGCCGTTCAAAGGATTACCCGTAACGTTATTAGTGTTCTCAAAGGGCTCCACGATTATACAGGCTCCCATAGATCCATCATTGAGATTCATTGTAGTCGCGACTACAAAAATGGCGATACTCGGTTGGCAGAAAACAGCAGTCCCTAGTGCGTCTCCGTTATCAGACAGATGATAATACCAGAATACGACAGGCTGAAAGTTTTGATCCTGATACGAGGGTGCGCATGTCGACGCTGCTGTCACAGAGAATTGGTCGGGACCATCGTTAGGGTCAAGACTGAGACTGGCGTTACAGCTAGACGAAAAGGTAGCCGATAATACAACATTCGAGCTGGTAAGATTGGTAGTCGTGAAAGAGGTTGGTTCTATGCAGTTGACGTGCGTTTGAATAGCGGTGGTGTTTACGGCTAGAGTTCCGTTCAAAATTGAACCTGCAGGGGGCTGCAGAGCACATATCTGAGTGATTTTATGCAATCATAGAGAAGCAGACAGCATACCGCGAATGGAGCAGCAGACCATCCGCCATGAACGAATGACGGATCTTGAAGATTATTGTACACTAGGAAGTTTGGCCTAGTTCAGTCTAGCGCACGTTGTTGAAGCAGGTGTTCCTACCTGCAGCATCTACATACTATTCAATGCGTCAGCAAAGTATCGCAATTGATCTAAAAAATCTTACCCCTGCAGAAGCTAGAAATGAAGTGAGTTGATTGATGGTAGTCGACAGCCCGACGTTGCGCATGCTTGTTGCGGTGGCAGCTTTGCATTGACATATTCAGTCCAAGTGGGCGACAAGAAAGAACTAGCTGAATGGCATCACCTGCTGCGTAGGGTACCTGTCGTACCTGAAATAGGGATCCAGCAAGTGGCTGCATGAAGACGGCAGAAAGGGCAGTGAGTGTTGATACATTTATTAACCAATGCCGGTGCTTGAGGGAATAGTATAAAGTGGTTAATCGACTGGGTAATAAATTTTCTTAGATCGCCAGCATGATTAGGAATGACTGGTTCTCACTTGAGCGCGATCTATTGTGAGGATGGTCACGCACGTTAAGACCCCTTCATTCATGACATATGAAATGCTTACATAGTCTAGTAGAATACTGCGTGCTGCAGGTGCGTTGCCCTCGGATAGCGTGACATATGGCTAAGGCCCCTGCAATGAGCATGGAAAGCAAATGATATAGACAATCGCGCTAACCTGGTACCATCTGAGCATCCAGTCTGCTACAGCCCAGAAATATGCGAGTGGGACTACCAATAAAGTTGGAACAAACGACTGTTGCGAGCTGGTGAATAAAGATGTGTTGGTGATGATATAATGGGCGTTACCGTTAGGAATTGAGTTGATACGAAGGTGATCACATTCTTTTCAGGTACGGAGAAGCCTGGTGAAGTGTTATCAGCGCACTGTGAGGAAGCAATAGGCGTGCGTACCATTGCTTCTACCTGATATGTGCAGAGCTATTTCAAGCACAATACCCAAACAAATCATGAGTAGACCAATGCTCCCAACGACGTAGATGTTCAAAACAATAGGCTCCTAGATTCCATTCATGTCTATCAAATGGCATTTTATACCAGAGAAGTGTGGTACTGACATAGCGCTTGGGCCGGTGAACTTCTGTACCAGGTGTCGGGATGTTATGAACCGAGTCTCGGAAACGTTGCGAACGTGGAGAAATGGTGTCTGACGTTGGCGTTGCGGAGCCACTCATGTCTGGGGGAAAGCAGGATGAGGAAGCGTCACTGTCTGTCGGTCAATATGTACTAGTATATCATTACTTATTCCGGCATAGCCTTCGCGTCGTTACTGACCTGCCTAAAAGCACAGCTTCCTCAAGTGTGCAATTGGAATTTGACAGTGGGCGGGAAAGTGTCTAGCAACAAGTACTGATTTCGACTTTTAAGGTCCTTTGAAGGAGTCAGTGAAGCAAATCATGATTCGTGGCATGTTGTTCCGTTGGTGTCGCTCCCGAAAAGGAACTCATTGGACTGCCATTCCGGCTCTGGCACAGACAATTGATGACAAGTTCGCTGGCCTCGATGCAAGCTCGTGGTATCAAGCGACTTGTCTGCTTCACAGAGTCACAAAGGTTCGGTGATTGATAGGAAAAGTGATCGAGCATCCTGAATTTCTTTACGCATGGGGAAGGAAGAGTGGCCTCATGGAGTGTTTCCGGCAACACGTTTCTGCATGATAGACCGGGTGACAAGTGTTAGGATCAGTGGCTCAGATACGCCCATCAGAAGACTAGGCATCTTGAAATTCGCGGTGGCTCAAGCTTGTCTCAAAAGATATACATATATACATAATTATGCCACCTCTTAAGTACAACGCCTGCAAGCAGGTTGTTGGTAAGATCGCATCATGGCATGTACACGCTGCACGCTAAAGGCCCTATATCGTACGCGCTAACACTGAAATACGTCATTAAATTCACCTGCTGATAAATTCAACGATGGGTCACAGCTTGTCCAACGTACCAGAATTCACTGCTCCTCACTTGGCTCAACAAGCTGATTACAGAAACGCACTGGAGCGTATCGAATGAGTCCTGATTCAGTTATGACAAGGCAAAATTGGTGGTCGAACGTGGTGTTATCGAGGAGCCACATTCCGCCCGCCACCGAAATTTGTCGCCGCTTGAAAAATAAGCGTGCAACCCTTGACCCGACTTTCCAAGGCCTCGTTTTTGACTGCACCACTCATTTGTGTCCATCCTTTCAACGACTCTTTTGCCCTAATCCCTAATGTACGTGTCTATATACTTGTTGTATCGTTCAGGTCATTGGGTTCGCGTCTGTTCGTGCTTTGGCGCGTCTGTCGCGATCTTCGCGTTTTCTGAATCAACCAATCTCGTGTTTATTCATCACTAACTTGTCACGTTTCAGCATGCGTGAAATCGTCCACATCCAGACCGGCCAGGTGTGTTTCAGTGTTTCTAATTTCATCATGATCCATTCGTGTTAACATGTCTTTGATATCAGTGTGGTAACCAAATTGGTACGACTACAAGACTCGCGCAATTGTCCAATATTCTCATCGCATCGTGATTTGATATGCAGGTGCTAAGTTCTGGGAGGTGGTTTCTGATGAGCATGGTATTGAGCGGGATGGTCTCTACAAGGGAACCAATGATATGCAGCTCGAGCGTATCTCGGTTTACTACAACGAAATCGGGTCAAACAAATATGTTCCTCGTGCAGTCTTGGTTGATCTTGAACCAGGAACCATGGACTCTGTCCGCTCGGGGCCTCTAGGCAGTCTCTTCCGTCCCGATAACTTCATCTTTGGACAGAGTGGTGCTGGTAACAACTGGGCCAAAGGACGTAAGTTTTCTGCCGTGTCGCGCCAACCAGTCGTGATTTCAACTTCTTTGTCTCGATAACACACAGACTACACGGAGGGCGCGGAGTTGGTCGACTCTGTTCTTGACGTTGTCCGTAAGGAGGCTGAGGGCACTGATTGCCTACAGGGTATGTTTTTCTTTGTTTTGTTACTACCACTTTCTGTTAACACAAGTGCAGGTTTCCAGCTCACTCACTCACTCGGTGGTGGAACTGGTGCTGGTATGGGAACGCTCTTAATGTCCAAGATCAGAGAAGAGTACCCCGATCGGATGATGTGCACGTACTCTGTTGTGCCTAGTCCCGCTGTCTCGGACACGGTTGTTGAGGTTAGTCTATTTCTCTAGATTCCACATGTTTCTGAAGCTCACAACTATATAGCCTTATAATGCAACACTCTCTGTTCACCAACTTGTAGAGAATTCAGACGAGACTTTCTGTATCGATAACGAGGCCCTTTATGACATCTGCTTCAGGACGCTCAAGCTCTCCACACCTACTTATGGTGACCTGAACCACCTGGTTTCTTTTGTCATGTCCGGTATCACTACTTGCTTGCGTTTCCCTGGTCAACTCAACTCTGACCTGCGTAAACTTGCTGTGAACATGGGTTTGTCGCTGTCTTCAATATTCCCCGCTTTTGCTTGATATATTCATTTGCAGTTCCTTTCCCTCGTCTCCACTTCTTCATGACTGGATTCGCTCCATTAACCGCCCGCGGCAGTCAACAATACCGCGCTGTCACTGTCCCTGAGCTTACTCAACAAATGTTCGATGCAAAGAACATGATGGCTGCATCGGACCCAAGACATGGTCGCTACCTCACCGTATGTATGAGTGTATCTAGGGGACTTGTGCTGATACTACTTTCGCCCAGGTTGCCGCCGTGTTCCGTGGTAAAGGTCTCGATGAAGGAGGTCGAGGAACAGATGCAGAACGTTCAGAACAAGAACTCTGCATATTTCGTAGAGTGGATTCCTAACAATGTGCTTTCTGCACAGTGTGACATCCCTCCCCGAGGAGTTAAGATGGCGGTTACCTTCTTGGGTAACTCGACAGCTATCCAAGAACTGTTCAAGCGTGTCAGTGACCACTTCACTGCTATGTTCAAGCGCAAGGCCTTCTTGCATTGGTACACACAAGAGGGTATGGACGAAATGGAGGTGTGTACATGCAGTCTTTATCTTGCGATTGGCTGATCTGACTGAATGTTATCTTTCAGTTCACCGAGGCCGAGTCAAACATGCAGGACTTGATCGCTGAATACCAACAATACCAAGACGCAACGGTCGAGGAAGAGGCTGAGTACGAGGAGGAAGTTCCAGCTGAGGAGGACTCGTAGATCAAAATCATGGTGACTCACTGTTACGATTCCTACGTCACCTACATTCCCCTTCACGACCAAAACTTAGGTATTCCTCTATTGGTGTTCTCTCGGGCAGATGCCTTGTTCTTTTGTTAATTTCACTTTATCGCTACCCTAGCCAGCATCGCGTTCATCTCATTTTTCTTTTCTGTCGTGCACCGCCGGAGCAATACATTTCATCGGAAACTGAAGTATACCCTTAGCCAACCCTTAGCAGTCGTGATTTGTGAGAGTGCCAAGAGAGCCTTGGCTAATTCTTGGCTCTCGTGATCAACTGTTTCCCACCGTTAGGTCTACAATCCGCAATGAGCCGAAACCTCAGTAGCTATGTGGTACTCGAATTGTCCTGACCCCTGACCGCAACCTGATCGTGGCCTACCCTTCCGGCCGGACACGCTTTCACTTCGCTACTGATGAGGCGTCTAATCGATACCTGAGCTTGCAGGCTTCGGCTCACATAGTCCACCAGTCTTCGTATGCGCCAGAATTCTCAGATGAATGTTCCAATGCATAATAGCAAACGAAATTAAGAACTGCACAAACGATCTTGTGCTTCCCGGTCTTGCCAGCCTCTACTTGGTTAACCTCTTTTTGTGTGACAGCCCATTGCAACCAGTATGTCTGTATAACCTGAGTCTTGAACTGCCAAATTGCACGAAGATCCGGGCTCCCCGCATCCTACCCCTCCTCCCAAGCCATAATTCATAAACTTTCAGAAAGCGCTGAGGGCCCTCACGATGAGGGGTCTGAAAAAGCTTGTATGAATGCCCCAGTGTCATCTCGCCATTTGGATTGTACTTCAATCAGGCCTCTCGCTCGCGATAGTTATAGCTGCCCCCTTACTACGTGCTATGGTGCGGACAATTTCTTTTCGATACTGCAAGGCAGCTACTTCCACAGAAGCCAGGATCGCTAGTGCAGAACCTCAACGGCAACAAGCTTGCCAGCTCGTTGATTTTGTGAACCGCAAATGGGGCTAAATTTTATCTTGACACGAGGGTGATCAGAGGAATTACTCATGGTCCTGGTATGTTGGTTAATGGAAAACGTCATCGGTGCCAGAAAAGAGGTGTTGTCCCATCTTTACCGCCGCCGTGCTTCTTGCGCAGGCAGATGCCAGCAGAGATAGCGGAGCCAAGAGGATGACCACTTGGTCCAGAATCCGAACGCCACTGAGGATTATACCCATAAGTAAGGTGCGCCACAATTAATGTTGGTACTATTTCCTCCGAAGCATCCATGCTGACAAGGAGTTTCGAGATGTGGCACAGCGGTGATGAGCTGCGTGGCAGTTACCGACCGGCTGCAGAAGTGGCTACTTCGTCACGGTCATTAGGTGGAATGTGACTTACATTCACGATTGTCCAGCGTGCAGTGTGTTGGTGCGAGAGTGGTCGCATTGCTGATACGGTAACCCAATGATACGAATCGCTGCAAACCGATGATAGTGTTATGAGTAGAAATTTGTGGGCAAAATCCGAAGAATGTCAACCCACAGGGGATCACGGTGTAGCCTTCACTGCAACTACCCTTCTACCCATTGTTTCCCTAATGTCGAACAACTCTTCTCGGATACGGGTGGCACTCCGAGTCAGTCTCCGAAGCGCTGCAATCTCTCGGTAGACGACAAAGATTTGAGGAAATCTTCGTTACCATAGTCATTAGAAGACCGTGAAAAATGGAAAGCCAATTTGTCGACATCGTGCACACATGCACACTCCAAACCAGGCATCAACATCGATGTAGCTGTCCATCTGGAGGCCCGAAATCTGTTGACGACGAGATCATGATCACACCGACGAACCGTAGTGGGGTGTGGACATTTTAGTGTCTTTTAATGATGTTTCTTAGTGATGCTTACCATACATTATTGTCATACAAATAGTCCTGTAGCACTTTGAAATTTTTGCCAGTCGGCAGAAAACTTTAGCGATTCTGTCGTTGAATTGTTCGCAAACGCCAAATACTGATTCTGTTTCCAATGATCAAATACCCGAACTATGAAAAAAGAACCCACCTTCATGATCGTTTATGGTAAGGCGGGTTTACACTCCACCCCATATGTGCCACCGATCTCTATCACGGTTGGAACACGAGAGCTCTGAGACTAAGCTGTGCTCAGCCTGCTGGCGCCCACTGGCTGTGCCCTGGCACTGGGATTGGTCGAATTTGGGTCGCCTGCCATATATGGGTTTCGGATTCAAACTTTTGATGATCGAGCAACATATCGCAATCTTTTTCTTCTCTTCTTCTCTCTTCACCGAAACACCCTTTAAAAGTCTTTGGGTGAAGAGAAAAGAAGAGATCACTTAGTTCTCTCGTCTCCCAATTCCATCACTCATTTACTGTCTACATCTAGTTCACTTTTTTATAGGATGCCTGAAGACGGCGTTCGACCCGTTTTCGCTCGCTCTCAGAGCAATCCTGGCTTTCCAGCTCCTCCGGTTACGTTCTCTCCATTGAATGACGATGATGATATGTGTTCTTCTAACGAGGCCGTCTTGGAACTCAACGATGGCTCTGCGTTCAGAGGTATCAGCTTCGGGGCGGAAGAAAAAAGTGTTGCAGGCGAATGCGTCTTTCAGACCGGTGGGGTTTATTTTCATCATCTAATGTTATGTTATTGATCTATTGTATTTCAGGCATGGTTGGGTACACAGAATCCTTGACCGATCCTTCATACGAGGGCCAGATCCTCGTTCTCACCTATCCATTAATTGGAAATTATGGCGTGCCCGAACGCCCCAAAAACGACTTTGATCTCCCTTCCGATTTCGAGTCATCCCGCATCCATATTGCTGCTCTCGTAGTTGGCTCATATACCGAGGACTATAGCCATTTCTTGGCAAATTCTTCGCTTGGAGCTTGGTTGAAAGAAAACAAGATTCCTGCCATTTGTGGTGTGGACACACGCGCCCTCACCAAGAAAATACGGGAGAAAGGTTCCATGTTAGCCAGAGTGTTGGCGCGAAAGTCAGATGCCCCTCCCCGCCGCTTGCAGTTTATTATTCCGGAGTCACGCTCGGTCTCACGTTCATCCTCGCCGCCACCTTCGGAAGACTACATCGATATCCCATGGCATGATCCCAACTCCGATAATCTCGTCGCTGCAGTATCAATATCCACTCCCCGACTTTTTAAACCTACAGGTCGACCCCATTTTCACCCAAACGGACGTGTCCTTCGCGTTCTCGCTGTGGATGTTGGCATGAAGTATAATCAGATTCGATGCTTCACTGAGCGTGGAGTGGAGCTCAAGGTTGTTCCTTGGGATTATGACTTCATCAACGAAGCCGAGCCATATGACGGATTGTTTATATCAAATGGTCCAGGTGATCCTGTGACAATCATGTCCACCGTCAAGCGAATTGCTCAGGCAATGGAGAAAGGCGACCGCCCAATCTTCGGTATCTGCCTTGGGCACCAATTGCTTGCTCTCGCCGCGGGAGCTACAACCTCAAAAATGAAATACGGCAACCGTGGACATAACATCCCATGCACTCACGCGCTGTCCGGAAGGTGCTACATAACGTCTCAAAACCATGGTTTCCAAGTCGACACAAACACGCTCCCTCGGGGATGGAAAGAGCTTTTCCGCAACGCCAATGACGGTAGTAATGAAGGCATCTATTGTGAAGACAAACCATTTTTCTCCGTACAATTCCATCCGGAATCTACTCCTGGCCCTCGTGACACGGAGTTTCTTTTTGATGACTTCATCCGGATCATCGTGGATTGTATCAACGCGAACACCCTGGTGCCCATATCGTTTCCGGGCAGGCGTAAGGAAGACAATGATCAGATGTTTCCTCGCGCCAATGTCCAAAAGGTTCTCATCCTTGGCTCCGGTGGATTATCCATCGGGCAGGCAGGCGAGTTCGATTACTCAGGCTCGCAGGCCATCAAGGCGCTAAAGGAGGAAGGCATTTACACCATTCTCGTCAACCCTAACATTGCCACCATTGCCACCTCCAAGGGTCTCGCAGACAAGGTATATTTCCTTCCGGTGACACCTGATTTCGTGCGCAAAATCATCAAGTACGAGAAACCGGATGGTATTTACGTGACGTTTGGTGGACAGACTGCCCTTAATGTCGGCATCAAACTCAAAGATGAGTTTGCGGCTCTGGGAGTACAGGTTCTTGGTACCCCCATCGAGACTATTATCACGACAGAGGATAGGCAATTATTCGCCCAAGCGATGGAAGACATTGGGGAGCGTTGTGCTCAGTCTGCCACAGCCACCACTCCAGATGAAGCAGCTGCCGCAGCGCGTGAGATCGGCTTCCCGGTCATTATTCGTGCTGCATACGCTCTGGGTGGTTTGGGATCTGGCTTCGCGCAGGATGAAGCCCAGCTTCGCGCTCTGTGTAGCAAGGCATTTGCGACTAGCCCTCAGGTGCTCGTGGAAAAGAGCATGAAAGGTTGGAAAGAGATCGAGTACGAGGTTGTCCGCGATTGCCGCGACAATTGCATCACTGTTTGTAATATGGAGGTAAGCGTGGCTTTTCGCTGAACCGCACACGCATGATCTCATGGTGTTGTGGTAGAATTTTGATCCCCTTGGTATACACACTGGAGACTCCATCGTGGTCGCTCCCTCCCAAACGCTGTCCGACTCCGACTACAACATGCTCCGAACAACCGCGATCAACGTCATTCGCCATCTTGGTGTTGTTGGCGAGTGCAATATTCAGTACGCTCTGAATCCGACCTCGAAAGAGTACTGCATCATTGAGGTTGGTTTAACATCTTGACCGACATGACATACGTTGTACTAACATTGAAATAGGTCAATGCACGTCTGTCGCGATCGTCAGCGCTGGCTTCAAAAGCTACAGGTTATCCCCTTGCGTTTATTGCCGCTAAGCTCGGTCTAGGTGTCCCGTTGAACGAAATCAAGAACTCCGTGACGAAAGTAACTAGTGCTTGCTTTGAGCCAAGCTTAGACTATGTTGTCGTCAAGATACCACGTTGGGATCTCAAGAAATTCAACCGGGTCAGCCGGCTCCTTAGCAGTAGCATGAAGAGCGTCGGTGAAGTCATGAGCATCGGCAGAACTTTCGAAGAGACCATCCAGAAGGCGATACGGGCGATCGACGATCAGTTCCTTGGATTTGCGAAGGTATGTAAGAGAAGCCACCGTCATTTCAGTGGGATTAAATTTCCTATTTCACAAGAATAACTTTGTGGATGACATTGACGAGGAGTTGGTCAATCCCACTGACAAGCGGATATTCGCCATCTCAAATGCATTCCATCGGGGTTATAGCGTCGACAAGATTGGCAGATGACCAACATTGACAAATGGTTTCTAACGAAACTTCAACACATTCATCGCATGGAGAAGCGCTTGTCGTGTGTAGACTTCCCTTAATCTTCGATGTTTTTCTAACGAATGTCCAACAGAGAGCAATCCATTACTTCTGTCAGTAACAGAATCATCCTACAAGCGAAGCAGCTTGGCTTCTCGGATCGCCTGTTAGCCAGTTGTTTGGGTTCAACGGAGTTAGCTGTCCGAAGGCTTCGCCAGGAAATTGGTATTTCCCCATTTGTCAAGCAAATAGACACCGTCGCAGCCGAGTTCCCCGCAGTGACGAATTACCTCTACACTACGTATAACGCTATAGAACACGACGTCGAGTTTAATGATCGTGGTGTCGTCGTCATTGGCTCGGGTGTCTACCGCATCGGCTCCTCAGTCGAATTCGATTGGTGCGCGGTCAGGGCTATCAGGACGCTTCGTGAACAAGGCCTCCCGACAATCATGGTCAACTACAACCCAGAAACAGTCAGCACTGATTACGACGAAGCTGATCGCCTTTACTTCGAGAATATCAGCTTGGAGACCATTCTTGATATCTATGACACAGAGCGCGCGCGCGGCGTCATCTTGTCGATGGGTGGCCAGACCCCGAACAATATTGCCCTTCCACTCTATCGTCAGAACGTGAAAATCTATGGGACTTCCCCCGAGATGATCGACACCGCGGAGAATCGCTTCAAATTCTCTAGGTTGCTCGATGAGATCGGCGTTGACCAGCCTCGTTGGAAGGAGTTGACTAGTTTCCAGGAGGCTCTCGCCTTTTGCGACTCAGTGGGGTACCCTGTCCTCGTCCGTCCTTCCTACGTCCTTTCAGGGGCTGCTATGAATGTCGTTTCAACTGGTGACGACTTGGCCAACTATTTGACACAAGCAACCGCTGTCTCTCGCGAACACCCCGTCGTCATCACGAAGTATATCGAGCAAGCGAAGGAGATAGAGATGGATGCTGTAGCAAAGGATGGTCAGATGGTCATGCATTTTATCTCAGAGCACGTTGAAAATGCTGGTGTACACTCTGGTGACGCCACTCTCATCCACCCACCACAAGATCTTGATCCCGCTACCGTTCGTCAAATTGAGGAAGCCACTGCCAAGATCGGAAACGCCCTCAATGTGACTGGACCCTTCAACATCCAGTTCATAGCTAAGAACAACGAGATCAAGGTGATCGAATGCAATCTACGAGCGGCGCGGTCTTTCCCCTTCGTTTCCAAAGTCACCGGCATTGATGCTATTGAGATGGCCACCAAGGTTATGCTTGGATTGCCGGTAGAGAGCTACCCGGATCCTGGTCTTCCTCCAGACTATGTTGGAGTCAAAGTCCCTCAGTTTAGCTTCAGTCGGCTCTCTGGAGCAGACCCTGTACTTGGTGTGGAAATGGCGTCTACCGGAGAAGTCGCTTGCTTTGGGCGTGATAAGTACGAGGCGTATCTAAAGGCTTTAATCTCCACCGGTATCGTGCCGCCCAAGAAGAACATCTTGTTTTCTATTGGAAGCTATCGGGAGAAATTGGAAATTCTGCCCTCGGTGCAGAAGCTCCACGCTGCCGGATACAACATTTTCGCAACATCCGGTACGGCTGACTTCTTAACCGAACATAACGTTCCTTGTAAAGTGAGTTCGATCAAGCTTCAGAGTGTTCCTAAAGTTCTATCATATCTTGCATAGTACCTGGAAAGCCTTCCGGAAGATAGCAATGACAGACAGAAGTCCGAATATTCGCTCACACAGCACTTGGCCAACAATTTGATCGACATGTATATCAACCTCCCATCAAAAAACAACTATCGTCGCCCCGCAAGCTACGCCAGTAAGGGATACCGCACGCGTCGCATGGCAGTTGATTTTGCAATTCCGCTCATAACGAACGTCAAAAATGCGAAACTGCTTGCAGAGGCACTTGTTCGCAAGCTTCCATTGGATGTATCAAGTATCGATTCCAAATCCTCATATCTAACGCATGCGTTCCCCGGGCTTGTTAACATTTCCGCGTTTCTACCCCGCCTCACTTCGGCGGGAGCCGATGAATTCGAGCAAGCCACTCGAGCTTCTATTAGTTCAGGCTTCACTACTTCACTCGTTCTACCAGTCGGTCTTGACAGCGCCATCACCGATGTCTCTTTACTCGAGCAGGTTCATGCCACAGCTGCAGGGAGCGCACGCTGTAACTACGCCCTCAGCATTGCTGGGAAAGATAGTAATGTCCAAGCTCTTGGCGAGGAAGTCAGAGCGGACGTGAAGTCGTTGTATATTTCATTCCACGGGAACTTCGCATCTCCTCAAATTTCCACTGTCGCTGCCTACTTCGCTTCGTGGCCCCAAAACAAGACAATCGTGACTGATGCCCGTGGCTCGAACCTTGCATCAGTAGCTCCTACTGGCGTCTCTTCATAACCGCAGCGTTCATATCACCGACGTCAGGAACAAAGATGATTTGCTTCTCATCTCGCTTAGCAAGGAAAAACATCTCAAGGTCACTTGTGATGTGTCAGTCTTCGCCTTGTTCTTCACACGGGAACAATATTCCCAACCCACCTCGTTGCCATCGGGCCAGGATCAGGAGGCACTGTGGAAGAACCTTGGTGTCATCGATGCATTCTCAGTTGGAATGCTTCCTCATCAGCTTGCGACAGAACTTCAAGAGTCAGCTTCTGCATGGTCCGGAGCGGAGGAAACGCTACCCTTGTTGCTTACCGCTGTCACTAGTGGTCGACTCACTGTTGAGGATATTCGTGTGCGCCTGCACGATAATCCGATTCGTATCTTCGGTCTTCCTGAACAAACGACAACTCACGTGGAAGTTGTTCTAGGACGGCGGGCTCAGCATCAGAATCACAGCACGTGTTGGTCTCCTTTGCACAAGAGTTCCGTCACCGGGTCACTGCACAGAGTAGTTGTGCATGGCAAAACCTTATTCCTTGATGGTGAACTTCTGTTTTACCTCTAGGGAAAGATGTGTCCAGTGCGACGATTGTGCATGCCGCTGGAGAACGACACGCAGGCGTGCCTCCAGCGAAACCACAGCTTGTTTCTGGGCCCTCTGCTGCCTAGGGCGCCTGATGGCTCTGTCCTTCCTCTTCAGACGGCTTTGGCACCGTCTGCTAGCGGTCCTGCCGGTTCAGGCATCAATATACCGTCGGTTGTTGCTCACGGTCGTCATCCGGCATTCCATCGTCGTCATATACTTTCTGTGAAGCAATTCACCCAACGCGACATGTATGATCTCTTCTCCTTGGCTCATGAAATGCAACTTCAGGTCGAGCGCAATGGGACACTAGACATCTTGAAGGGCAAAGTTCTTTGTACCCTTTTCTACGAACCGTCCACCCGTACAAGTACTTCTTTCGATGCGGCCATGAAACGCTGTGGAGGCGAAGTGATTCAAGTCAACGTAGACACTTCATCAGTGAAGAAAGGAGAGACGCTAGGCGGATACCGTTCGCACAGTAGGGTCTTATGCCGATGCTATTGTGATTCGGCACCCCGATATCGGCAGTGCCCAGCTCGCCGCTAAATATTCCCCTGTGCCTGTTTTGAATGCTGGCGATGGCATAGGAGAGCATCCTAGTCAGGTAAGGGCTCAAAGTTTGGAGCAGTCCGATTTCTAACGCATCATAGGCTCTTCTCGATATTTATACCATTCGATCCGAGCTGGGGACTGTCAATGGCAAAACAATCACCATCATAGGAGATCTCAAGAATGGGCGCACGGTTCATAGCCTGGTCACTCTACTCTGCCACTACTCAGTCCGTCTGAACTTTCGTCGCGCCTCCGTCGCTTGCGATGCCCGCAAAGGTGGTCGCTACTGTGCGGAAGGCGGGTATATTTTTACAGCAACTGGAATCGCTCGAGGAGGTCTTACCTGATACAGACGTTCTCTACGTGACCAGAGTGCAACGAGAGAGGTTCAAGAGTGAATCGGAGTGGCAAGCGGTCAAAGACTCTTATCGGATTGATCACGCCCTTCTTTCTCGGGCCAAAGAAGACATGATTGTAATGCACCCGTTGCCTAGAGTAAATGGTGAGATCCTCGGTGTTATTCGTAATCCTCGAGCTAAGCATCTACGTTCATAGAAATCGATCCTGAAGTCGATTTCGACTTCCGACGCGCCGCTTACTTCCGTCAAATGCGTTACGGACTTTTCGTCAGTCATCTTCCCCTTTGACACGCTCGTTCTGACATCGCTTTAGGTTCGGATGGCTCTTCTTGCTAGTGTGATGGGCTGAGAATGTTGTATCATCCACAATCTGCGATATTAAGGATGGTATCCCGGGATAAACTATGTGTTGATATCCACATGGAGCTGGGCAACTTGTCGTAGACAATTAAACTTTCAATTGATACCCAATGTGGTACCCTTTGACTTTCACTCAGGCACATTTTGAGTCTGCTGTATGTGTGCACTGATGTATTCAAACGTTTCAAGAATTATCGAGAGGCTTGATAGGGTTGAAGTCATAAAACTGCATATTTTCTTTATTTCCTCCAGCTTTCTCTGACAGTTGTTACCAGCAGGCCACCGAAAGATGTACTATCCAACAGTCGCGACGCTAATGGGTCCTGCATATATCAACTTATCTTGCAGCGTATGCAGTTGCTGCTATGTGCAGCCTACACGAAGAAAGCTCTCCATGATCCAAAAGGCAAAAGGAAGGCTACTGATAAGCTCGGAGGTCAGTCACCTGCTAAGAACTCGAAGATGTTGACGGAGAGCCATGACATCTTTGACATGGAGCTGGAACCTGATGATGATTAGCCTGACTCGAATACTGTTGTGAAATTTGTAGTGCTGCGTTTGATTTGCGAAGTGTGTGATGTACATACGTATACTCGATTGTTTGTTGTATATCGATAGACTGTTTGCTACCAATCCATCGTCATTTCTTGAACTCCGAAATTGAAGTCGGGGACTGGCGCTTCCCAGCGCTGCTATACGTAGCTAAGCACCTGCCATCTCAACGTCACCTAGGCCATCACCATTATTTAGTAGCGTTTCCGTAGCACGCTTGATAGTAGCAATCTTGGCTCGCATGACAGCAATTGCTTCTGGGAGTAGACGTTGTGGGGGATAAAATCCTTCAGACTCTATGTTAACTATGCAGGGATATCAGTCGAAACGCGCGTGACAAGGAGAGGACACATACATAAGAAATGATCTCGAACTCGAGCAAGTTGAACGCATCCTTCAAACTCTGGATGTCTGTATACTTCTCTGCTCATCGTCTCGTTTCGCGTTTTCTTACTGTCCACGCTGACAGCTTTCGTTCGAGGATCTATTCGAATGACACCCGCCGAGAAGCATTTTTGAAATTTTTCTACAAGCTCTGGAGGTACAGGCTTTTCTGGGTTCAAAATCACCAATGGTAGTAGACGGTATGACGCCGTCGCTATTACTTGGAGGTTAGACATGCGGCTGCTGCTGCTGCTCCAAAGTGGCAACTCACCAACTGGACAGAATTTCGCATGATCTTTCCCTACTCCCTTGACAGCATGTAGCTCCATGTCAATTTCTTGCCCAGGTCGTAGTTTCGTCAGCACGATGTTTAAATTCGTAGGTGCGGGGGGATTGTCTGCCATAACGATCTCTTGCTCTCCTTGTGGAATCCATTTCAAATGTGAGGACAGGACTTCATGGTTGATATACAGCTTGCTTTGGTCTGTGGTATCTTTTGGCGCGTTCTTCCGACGCTCGCAGGCAACTTGTAATCGAAACACGAGTGTATTGCGGTCAGTAGCCTGATCATTTGCACCTGTCAAAGACGTTAGCATGAAAGAAACATCCATGGAAATTTTTAAAACTAGCTTTGTTTCATATCCATGAGGGCCGGATCGATGTTTAGAGGCACGAGGCCTATCCGCTGCGCAAGCACTTCATCGACGACAACAGATGTGTTATCCCAAACGTAAACTCTTTCGACACAGATCGTCGGAACCTAGAGTATGTCAGACATGATCACGCCGCGACTGCAAACCTAATTCAGACTTGCCTCGGCAATCAGTATTCTCCTGAAAGCATTTGCGATGGATGCATCCACGCCTACAAGGTCAAATTCAATGGTACGGTTCGATAATCTTTCTATTTTGACGGTTAGTCCCTATCCTTGCACGACCATGGATCAATCGAATACAGATCGAGCTTTAGGGCCGAGACGCACCTTCCTGAATCTCTCGAGGTCCCATGAGTGGTCCTCATTTGGGTAGTGTCCAGGAAAGTTAGTGCTGGAAACATTGGAAACACGTTCTGCGTGAACCCCGACGTGTTTTCTGGGGTCATATGTGGTTACTGGCATACTTTTAGTAAATGCAAGAGGTACCCGCTCGGGAGAAAATGTACAGCACCGTTTAACAAGACCCCTCACAGACCCCTCCCCCTTCTTTTGGAATTTCCCACACCCTAGGGATATACTAAATTCGGTAATTTTTGCGGTACCAACAGCGGACGCTGAGTGTATCACCAAACATCCTAGGCATCCAGGCCATCCTCCTGTCATACACATCGGGGTGAACGATATTTAAAAGAGGTTTATATGTTGTACAAAATGTGAAAACAATATTTGATATTTAAACTAACATAAAGATGGGTGCACGACTTCAAATTTTGGTGGTGTTTTGTGTGTCATCCAAAATATCAAATATTCACAACCATATTCCCACTAGGGGTCGGCGTTGCCGACGTGGACCTTGCTCACATTCCGTCTTTTTCTAGCTCTATCGTGCTCGTTTAGTCTGGCTTCGTCCCAGGATTTCTTCTGACATCACTATATAGCTACTACTACATTGTTTCTTTCAGTGTACTGCACTATGGTACCTTGTTTTCTGTCAGACTGTCTGTCCTTGAGAAACGCTTTTTCGTTTCCTCCGCGAGTCGCTCAATCCTGTTATCTTCTATCTGAAGGTCTTCGTTTGGATGTTGAAGGAATAGATCATTGTCGAAGTCTCTGAGAAGACGTATGCATTCTCGGCCGTGACTTCTGGATAGTGCGACGTATGCATTGAAGGGAGATAGGCGAAAACATGTCGTTCTTCCAATTGATGTCCACTAAAACATGATCAATCGTCTGTCCTTGTGCTTTAAAGTCGGTAAATGCGTAAGCTGGTGTTACAGGGAGTTGACGCCGCGTGATTCTTGTAGAAGGACCTGTGCCCATGGAAAATTTAATTTCGCAAGGTAACACTGGTATGTGCTGAGGCAGAAGTCCGTGCAATGGCGGTAAATCGCAGAAGTCGAGGTGAATGATAACAAATGCAGGGGGATAACGCAAGAATGCTCTCTTTGCTTCCACAGCGTTGCTCCCAATCTTTGGCTCTCTGGGATCCAGAACGATATCAGTAATTCTCAGTCTATACTCACTGAAAATGAAAGCACATTGATTGTCTGAGGTACTTAGCAGTTCAAATACGCTAGGTTGCATGGTGTTTCGATAGATAGATAGTAAATACGATGTTTAGGGGCGCGGTGTAAAATTATAGGATTAATTTTTATTTATTCATCACATTATTACCAACATATTAACAAAAAAGGGAGTTGTCCGAAAACGACGAATATTGGAAGGGAAGCGCGCTAGCTTCGCCCTGTGGGCGGAGCTCTGGGCACGAGGGAGTTGCACGGTCTAAGTTATTACTTTGTTATTCAGAAAACGACAAGTATTGGAAGGGAAATCGGAGGTAGGTGATAAGTTCGCATCATCGTATCACGTTGTATGGCGTCACTGTATTTACTATTATTTGGAAATCACATAAAATGATCCATGTGAACCTGACCTTGCTTCGCAAGGTAACAGACAATATGTCAACAAATATAATAAATATAATCAGATTTTCCATGTCTGCTTCAATTTAAAGTTTGATTCTTACATAAAACTTTGGAGAAAACTTGAAGTTTTGCCAAAGCTTGACATTTAAATCGAGTTTTAATGTCATGTCATCTGTAAAACTTCAAGTTTTCTCCAAAGTTTTACATGGAAATTGAACTTTAAGTTGAAGCAGACATGAAAAATCTGACTATATTTCTTATGTTTGTTGACATATTGTCTGTGGGAATATGGTTGTGAATATTTGATATTTTGGATTACACACAAAACACCACCAAAATTTGAAGTCATGCACCCATCTTTATGTTAGTTTAAATATTAAATATTGTCTTCACATTTTGTACAACATATAAACCTCTTTTAAATATCGTTCACCCCGATGTGATATCAATGGATTCATTGAATGAGCGACACGCGCTTATTGAAATTATGTAATGCACTACTACGTGGCACAAGCATGGCACGGCGCACCAGGTCATGCATAGCATGCATATATCATGTATGTTTTGTCTGTGATCATATAACTAAAGGCTCGCAACAGTAAAAACATGCATGGCTACAATGCTAGTTATATCATGCACGAATGGAACAGTATGACCTGGGTTCCTTGATTCTGTGCACTAGAACTAGATCATGCTAGGTATAGCCCTTTTATTATCAAACAAAAAGCTCACCCGCAACCAGGTTCTCTTCAACGTACATGCATGATTCGAGTTTTCGTAATGATTTCTGCCATCGCGTGGATTTTCGGAACCTTCTAGCGGAGGTTTGGGGCTTCATACCTGCCTTCCGACATGATTCTGTGAGTCGATGTGAGCCTGCTAGTGCCCTCTGCATGCACAGAAAATTTGATCTGCCATATTTATGCTGCACTGTTGCCAAACGATCAGGAGCCATTAGGACGGGAGAATCAAATAAGGGAGACCAATTCAAGTTCCGACTCGGAAGACCACCGTGATAGTCACTGAGCTTTTTCATACGAGGCTCAGGATGCCGCTGCCATGATCGGAGCAACCTGTGTACATACCGGAGTCGCGCCACGGTATCGGAGCGAAAGGCTCGTCTTCTAGCGAGGACAGTCACATGTACCCGCGGACCTGAGCTGGGCCGCCGCATCAGCTGCTAGTGGTATTTGGTGAAGAGCCACACTGGCAGTATGCGTTTTTTTGAGTCTAGCCCGACTGATGGGCGTAAAGCACTCCTGTGTCCGGGTGTGCTCCAGTGCCCGGAAATAACAGACCAAAATAGAATGTCATCGGAGCGCCTAATAGCGTCAAATGGCGGATGCGTTACGAGAATTCGAGGCTGGAAAAAATTAAGGTTCGTCAATCAGGTGTTCCAGCGGAATGTTCAGACTTCAACAAATGCGAACAGCTGAGGTAGTACATCGTACGTTGTATCAACCAGGATCTCGACAGACTCAGCAGATCATACAACACGCTGTGATTACTAACATACCATCAAAGACAAAGTCAGCTATTTGTGTGCTTGGCACTCGTGGCGTGATAGGAGGCCATGTCACATGTTCACGGCCCATCAGTAACCCAATTGTATTCGGCTGCTCACATTTGAGTTTGTGGTACATATGGATGTCTCGCGACAAGGCTATAAAGGTGTGCCGGCAAGACGGCTGATGCTTTTAACTAATATTGGTTGATCAGCGCCGCATTTATGTAAAGTTTGAAAGTTTGAGGTCTTTTGCCGATTACGAATCAGTGGAGCTTTCTTCTACAGGGTCAGACATGATGATGACGATAACAGACAGATACTTCCGAGGCGCCACAGTAATGTTCCATAGGGCCCATCTGTGCACGTACCAAGTCGCACAATCGATTCAGAAGTCCAAAGGAGCCATCACATCATAGTACACCTTGCCGAACCTTGCTGGGTGAATCGCTAAGTATAACTCAAGCATTATCTGGCGCCTTCAAGTTCAAGCTGTGGCACTTCAAGATCTCTGAATTCGGTCCCTGGCAACGATATTAGCCGGACTGCACCGTACTACTACTACCGTGCCTTGTTTCAATAGACACGATAGCGGCCGTACCGAACAGCCATTACAACAATACGCGGAATTAAATTAAAGACTTTTCGAACGGACGATGGTTTTGGTAACTGCAAGGATGAGGCGTGGGTTCTCGGTTCAACTTTACTCAATTCTCGGTATAAAGCTTTCCAACTGGTGTCTGATGAGCAGGCTTTGGACGAGGTCACCCGACCTCCTGACATCCGCGTCCGCGTCGTGGAAGCACCATGGATCCCGATCATGACTTCCCTCCCATCCCCACTGGACAGTCCTCCCAGTCTCAGGCACACCCTTCTCAACCCGAAGTCCAAAATCCCTCACCGTCCGTGGAACCTGAACGTGTAGACAGAGCAGTTAGTCCGCACAGTCAATTGGCGGCCACTGAGAAGCCCCCCCTTGGTAGTTCGGAGTCAGAGGGAGATCGTCCGCAGAGTCAGGATTTTGTGGCGTCTGAGAAGCCCCTCATTGGCAGTTCAGAGGGACAATCACCAGGACGGACACCGGCTTATGGTCGTTATCCAGAATTTGACATTTCTCAACCTCCTCCGGTTGCAAGAAATGGCCTGAGGGACGGACATATCAAGCGTGGACCGTCGCGTCGCTCAGCTACGGGCCATGTTCGTCCCACTGGATCGGGCATAGGCTGGATAGTGCCCGAAATTGAAGATAAACCTCATGTTTGTGTTGCTAGCATTTTTGTACCGGGGCCATTAATTCTGATCCCGACCTCACAGCGGCACACGATCGGATTTCGGCTCGCCCCAACCATTGCTAATGCGAAGATTGAGAGGGAGCGATACGCCGCAAAAGGTTAGTCGAAAAGGTTAAATAACACCTTTTCAGTTCGGTATTCTGGCTTGAATGTCTCCTTGTTTTCTGACAATATTCCCTTCTATGAAGCACGAGTTACAGGCCTTGCATTGAACATTGCGATAGGGTTGCAAGTAGCCCTTGGGGCACTCACTACCGGTATTTCGGCATCTTTAACGGGTAAACAGGTTAGTTCAAAGAACTCCATCAGGGTTGATGCCAAACTGACCCTGAGGTCATTGAACTACTAGGTTTCGATTGGCATATCTATTCTTGGTGTGTATTACGGTCTTCCAAATCAGATCCCAAAAATCAATACACTTCAGGCGGCATGACTACATTAGTCGCTTCCTATCTCGCTCGTACACGGGGATCAAATGAACCAGAACTATCCATAACTCGTGTTAAGGACCTGGATCATTTCTTGAGAGACTGTTCAGCTTTTGATATGGACAAGGGGCACGAGTATGGGACACCTGAGCTGGATGCTCAGTTAGACCATCTTAGAAAAAGGTTTGAAGAACTTCTCGGAAATGCTGATGGGTAGGGTCATGTTGTGTTTGCGTTACTCGGGCTATGGCTGACGATCCGCTCTAGGCAGCGAAAACTTTCCCCGCCAGTGTGAATACAATTGTTCTAGGTTCCTATAACACACATTCTACGAGGTCTCCCACCAATCATTTTGTCCAATACCAATCTCCGAGTGATTATCACTTCACTTTAGCGGTTCTCTCATGATACATACTACATTCTTCTAGATACGATACGATTGTAAGTTATCACTTGTTCGATAATACACCAATTGTTCCGGTATACGATTTCTCAAAGTTTGGATGATGCTAGACCACTGCCTTTGTGATGTAAACAATATTTGGTTTTCTCGAAGGAGCGAGGGACCACAAGCGCCGTTAAAGGGGCAACCACTTTTCCTAATTGATACACGAGTCATTGTCTGCTTAACATGTGGAGAGTGATGCCTTATTTTTATCGGATCCTACCATGTGAACAAAGAACTAATGCTGTGCTTACCGGAGCATGTGACAGCTGTGATTTCCATTACCCGAATCGTATTCAAGTTAGACTGGTCGGCCGGCAAGCCGTCGATAGACGGACTTCACCAAGTCTAAGTACATCACGATTGTGACTTCGTGGCGCGTTGAGCACACGTGATACTGCCCTCTGTGCACGTGATCCTCTTCTGGTAGAGTTGGGGGTGCGGAGAACAATGAGCAGCATTTCCATAGTTCGTCGAGATGAAGACTAAGAACAAACAAACAAAGTTCCCCGTTGTGAGTTTCTGCGACAAAGCGTTTAATTACCGAGTCGTAGCTCATATGTTGGAGGACAGGCACGAATCAAGAAGATTATGCAGAAAGATGAGGAAGTCGGGAAGGTTGCGCAAGCTACGCCAGTGGTCATTTGTATGTCTTCGTACACCGATTTATCCCTTATCTCATGAACGTGTCTCTACTTCTGATACCAATGTTTGACGCCCGATAGCGAAAGCATTGGAATTGTTCCTGGCTATGATTGTGGAGGAGGCGGCTAAAGTCACGGTTGAACGGGGGGCAAAGAAGGTTGAAGCTTATCACTTGTGCGTTTATTGCTACCTTGACCGCGATCTTGTCGTGAATACATATACACAGAAAGCATGCGATCGAAACAACAGAGATGTTGGATTTCTTAAAGGAAATAGTTGAATCTGTACCCGACCCTTCGGCGGGCGGTACCATCGACCTACAAGCTGAGGCAGCAGAAAACGCGAAGCGAAAGAGGAGCAAAGCGAAGAAAAACGGGGTGGCATCTGGGGATGGCCCAAAGAGGCGGCGGAAAAAGAAAGAGGATGTTGACATGGAGGGTGTGCCAGAAGAGACGATGGGAGAAGTAAAGTCTGAGGAAGGAGATCCTCGAATGGAAGACGATGATGATGCCCGTGAAGAGTCATCGTCTCGTCCCCGGCACCGACGGAGTGATGATGGCGAGGATGACATGCCATACGTACCGCGGTGACAAAGGTGTTCGGTGTGAAGTGTGCGCTGTAACAGCTTTGTGATATTTATCATTCTCATCATATCCCATATCCCTTCGTCCATCATATCTGACCAGTTGTACTGTACAGCATAATCTAGGACCTACACAAGTTCTGCCTCCCCTCGAGCAACCAATTGCTCCACCACCGAATACGGGGTCAAAGATATATGTCCTTTCCGCATATCTAATGCGGTCCCACTGTAGTCTGATTAGAGAAATCGACGTCGGTCAATATTCAGCAACATACTCTGGCAGCCGCACTGGTGGACAGTCCTGTCGAGCAAGTACAAAGACTGCACGACCCTTATCTGGTTCAGTAACTAGATGCTATTGTGAGTACCACTCTTCTCGGTGAAACGTTGACGTCCATACCCATAGAAGGTACAAAAGGAGGTTGATCATCAAGGGTCTGCTGGGTCTCTGGCAAACTCTGCAGAACCGAATGGTAGAAATGTTGATCAGTCAAACGGGCAAACCTGGGGACATGGTCAACCACCATGTTACTTCGTAAGAGGGCCACAACATACCGACGCGCGTGCTCGACTTCACTTTCTGAGAGTTGCTGCTGGACTTGAGGGTTGGTCATGATATACCGAGCAAACTTCTCGATCTGTAATACATGATGTAGTATCTTAAAAAGGGAGTGGAAAGGAGGAAATGACCTTGAATAGACGGGTACGGAGGTATGACCTCACTATGAATTTGACTCGTTCTACCTCCGTCTGAACGAGCACGATGCGAAAGTGCTCCTCCTCAGAGGATGAGGGGTCTGTGCGAAGGAGCTGCACAGTCTCAGACTGCGTCAGAGTTAGATTTGTCTGCTGGTCATTCCAAGGTCACGACATGGCTCACCAACCTGACTCCTGATGTGGTCAAGCAGTCCTGCCAATAACTCTCCTTCATTTGGGAGAATATCAGGCGAGTGCCGCTCGTTCATCCAATGTCTTATGAGTTGCTGTAGTGGCGTTTCTTCTTCTTCCTCGAACATGAAGGGAGGTGCATCTGGTATTTCTGCACCGTCGTCGTCTCGTGAGGCTCGTCGAAGTCGCTCCTGAAAGGTGTTATTGTTAGCAGCACGGCCCGGTCGGTCGAGGTTCGTGAAAAAGTCATCATCGTCGACGTCCATGAATCAGGTGTTATGGGATCTTGGTTCTGCAAGAGTTGTGCGTCGTTCGCGATCAATAAACGGCGTTAACGCAGTCATCACCCGATCGCGTTTCGGTAATGTCGTTATCAAAATCCATACATGTATAACATAAACAACTTCGACACTATAGTACATAGATATGTACATGTACAATACAAAAGCAGGAAATGGCATGGACTCGTCGACGCTGCAAGTACATGATCCAGTTTAAACGGATTCAACGCAAGAGATACCCACGACATGATGCAGAGTTCAATCACGCAGCATCATTATCAACAAGCTTTCCGCAAATGATATATTTATTTGAGAAGTGGTCAATCCATCCTGTGTCTCGCTATGAGTAATTGGCGCTATTTAAGCAACTAATTCAACCTCACCTTTCATGTTCTCGCTAAGTAATCGGTAATGCTATAAGCAATGCAAATATGGAAGCAAATAAGCCCTTACATTTCGTCTGGTCGGAGATCCTGAAGCTTGTCAAGAGGTTGGTCAATCGCCGTTAGCATATCTGACGGCATATAAATTAGGTGTCGTGTAAGGAGTGTCCAATAGTTCACCCACCCAAATCGAAGGACTGCTTGGCCATGCCACGAGATGCGTCACGACCTGCAAAATTACCATACATGCCATCTATACAGTGTGCCTCAGTCCTGATTCAATGAATTGACGGGGCAAGCAGATGTACCTGGCCCATAAAAGTTCCTCCCCGCGGTTACGTCGAACACGATACCGTTGATGGCGAGTAAAATTCTACCTCCGCTCTTGCCGTCGAATGGTTCCAGTGTCTTCGGGGTATATGTCTTGAACAACACAGTGGGAGGGTGTTCCTTGGGCATCCATGAGTAACCATGCTTGAATTCGGTTGGGATTGCTTTAGGTGTGGATGTGGAAGGGAAAATGATCTTCTGCACGGAGAAGAGAATGTAAATGAGCAGAGCTGAATTGACGGGGGTACTGAAGTCAAGAGTGTACGCCATAACGATGTTACGCCGACGTCGGTGGTGGTTCAATGCAATAACTTACATAGTGCGGCGACAGCTTGCGGACGAACCCGCTCGGCGCTTGAAGTCACTACGGACGGTGACGTGGCTTCTCTAATTAATATTGGCCTCATAAATTCATGGCAACATGCAGCCCCAAAGTTCCCATTCCGGTTCAGCGTCCAAGACCAATAGTATATATACTTTTTTTAATGCTTGGGTCCCGAGAAGGCCGTCCTTATGGTTACAGAATCGACGCGGATGGGCAGGAGCCTCAGACACTACCGCCTATAATCACCCAGACAGCAAAGACACCAACAGCCAAGCAGCAGCTAGGAGGCATACCAAACTAGAAGTCAGGGGAAAGCGGCTACCTCACTGTTCTCCTCTCGCTATGACCGCCCTTGTCACCCACCCCTTTCTGTTGTCATCTTTCCCGTGATCCCTTATGGGCTTTGTGGATCTAGACAAGCGAGCTGTGAGCTAGGGGGAAGCTTGAGCTTCGTGTTCTTGCAGTTTCAGGTATCGAACATAAATTTGCAAGTTTTGTTGAGCTGATACTAGCCTATAAGAGATGGTCTCTTCCTTGTTGCCCTCTGAGGCACCATTCTATGATGTCTTGGCGCGTTATGGTCGTATCTCCCAAAGTCTCCGTTGATCTGAAATCCCAATACAACACTTCGTTGTCCGTCGTGCTTCTCAACTTCTAAAGACAACAGCCGCTCTTATCGTTCTCGTCATTTTCTTCGGTTATAGTATCCCGAATGGAACGGTTTCCGCACTAATTTTTGAACCTTATCCTCACTTATTTCAGCAGCACACTGCACGAATATTGGTCTTAGCTTCGAGATACAGTCGCGGACTGATAAAATCCATGTTCGCAGCTGTCTATCCGCCGGGACAAGCACACGATAGATCGTGCGGTCACGTAGTTCTATGGAATCGTAGGATGGGCGCAATTGCGCAGCTCCAATGAGTGAACACAAGCATCAAGTAGGTATGAACAGCCGAGGACTTGCGAAGAAAAGAAAAGAGACTAACTAGACAACTTTGAGGCTTGTCACACTATGAATTGTTCCTTGTTTACCTATCCTGCGCTTCGAAGGAATCCTTGAGTCTAGAACTCGGCGCGATCGACTCCTCTATTGCATGAAATGTCTTGCTTTCAGTCTACTTGTTTGCTCGAATACCGACACGTTGCCGGTCAGGGTGGACTGTGGATGCTCTCAAAAGAAGTGTATCCGTAGTCGTGCACAAGAACCGGACTCTTGGAGCGCACGTTATACGTCTTCCGCAACCATGCAGGCAACGAGGTAAACAAGTCTGCCCGAGCTGGTCCACCGATAGATAACTTCAAGATTGCTCAGATTGTTTAATTTAGATCCGCCATCGCACAAGGGCACTGTGACTATGTGTACTGCGCCTGCGTTGGTAGTACACATCACACCACGTTGCTTTCCTTGGCACCTCTGCAGGTCCTTATATTCATCTTCTGAGTCTACCAGTTGGATTACTCGCAGGCTCATGCCCTGGATGAGACCCTCCTAATCGCGAATGCTTCCGCTGGTTTGTGGTATGGGTCTTCCGAACAGGCGAGTATTTTACACGTTAACGGAGAACAATTCAAAGACAACAAGAGAACACAACGAAAAGATGGTGAGCTTGACAAACCTCTATGGTCCAAAAAGGTTGTCGGATAGTGGAACTGCCATGACCGAATCGACGGACATTTATTTTTCCTAGACCTGTACCCTGGAAAAGGGTACAGGAGCTTCCTTGGACCCCGAGAAGAAGACTGTCCTCGTGGCTACAACATTCTCGACTGAACAGAAATAAAAGCATTATTGAGGAATTTTGCTCATAGGACGTATTTATAAGTTACTAGCCAGGAATTTAACAAACTTGTCAAATATTTCTAACACACTTGTCACCGTTCGAGGACAAACTGTTGCGCCATTAATATTCTACTAGGGTTCTGCCAAACCGGTTCTGCCCGGCAGATGTGCTGGCAAAATCCGGGAGAATACCAAACTACAGGGGATAACGGATTGATAACGGAAGTGGCAATTCTGCCCTCTCAGCACTACATATTATTCTCGCATTGACTACTAGGCTAATCAGATCCATTGCATATGTGGATCTCACCGATATCATAGAGTAAGTGGTCGTAGATGGTCGTTTTCATCAAAAGAGATTGGACCTGACCGGAATATCATGCTTCGACAGATCCGCGCTGTGTTGACACTGCTATTGAGCACACTTGCTGGCCTAGCCATCTGTTCGGACAGTCTAGATCAGATCGTAACCCTTTGTGCATTGCACAATACAACCACCTTCCTTCCTTATCATTCACCGCGCGTGACACATTGTTCTTATGCGGGAAGCGTGGAACGGGGGTACGGATAACCAGGTCAACAGTGAAAGATTTCAACTAAGTTCATTGAGTCGAATCTTACTCCAAGGAACCATGATGCTTTCACAAACCCTCGGAGGAATGCGATGGTGATGATCCATCTAAAAGCTCTGCACATAATCGAGATCCTCGCTGGTGTTGAGACGTGTGATGCGTCTGACCCGCGTTGGTCATGTGCATGAAGATGCCTCTTATAATGTGAAGTCATTCATCCATCTTGACAAAGAAGGTTTCCAACCTCCCCTTCATCAGCCGGTCGCTCCTGAACTGACAAACCGTAGTATCTTGTTTATAATTTTCAGGCGCAATGCCGCCACTCCAGCCTATCTCCACGGCTGAAACGCCAGTTCATCATGAACCCAAAAAACTTTCTCTTACGCGCAGACTAATCTTACTGTTTATGTTCTGTTTTGCTCAGTTCTTAGATACCGTCAATAACGCAGCTTTTCTCTCCGCAATCCCTGCACTCGAGGCATCCATGGGTATGACTGAAAGTCAATACACCTGGACCCTGAGTGCATACCAGTTGACCTTTGCATCTTTTCTACTTATTGTGCGTGTCCATCCATCCAATTGATTCTGATTTTACACTTCAACTTGAACGTATTGCTCAGAGCGGCCGCATTAGCGACGTGTACAACCCAAGTTAGTACTATGCTGTACTTTTCAGATAGTGACATTGACGGGCTCACAGAAATTGCGTTCGTTGGGGGTGTATCTGGTCTTGGTGTCATCTCGCTGTGCGCCGGATTTGTTAATGACACCATTCCGATCATCGTTCTCAGAGCGTTGAGTGGAATAGGTAAACATTTCCGCCGGTCTGATGGGTTTGGCTGACAAAGATCGCTTCTCAGCTTCTTCGATGACAATTCCCTCTGCCCTGGCACTCCTGGTCAAAGTATTTCCCGAGCCGCTTGAACAAGCTCGCGCAATAGGGATATTTGGAGGCTGCGGTTGCATCGCTAACTGTGAGAATTTCCCCTACCTGATCATCCACGACTAACTTCATGGTTCCGTTCTATAGCCCTCGGTTTCATGATTGGTGCAATGTTTGTCCAATGGACATCTTACCATTGGGTGTTCTGGTTTATAGCCGTCGTGGCTGTGCCAGCGGCTCTGGCGTGTGCTTTCATCATACCGCCAGAAATTTCGAACACCAAAGACAATCTTGAGCCTGGAGCAGCAAAATGGAAAAGTCTGGACTTACTCGGCGTGACCATCCTAACTGGTATGAATTTTCAGTATGCTCCGCTTTGCATTCCTCACGAGCTCCGGCAGTTGCCTTGATTTTGTTCATCTTCGCTGTGACATCCGGCTCCACTGATGGCTGGGCATCTGCAGAAGTGCTTGTCACGTTGATCATATCAATCATGATGGTGATCGGGTTTTTCTATTTGGAAACACGTATACCTGTGGACACAGCTGCAATGTATGCTATCAGGGATGCTTACACCTACCACCGATCATTGACTGATCTTGTACCAGACCACCCCGGACATGGTTTTACCCCAATTTCTCGATTCTTTTTGCCGTCTCGCTCTTGCCATTCCTTTGGTGGAACACAGTATTCATGGTCTTTATGACCCTGTGGCAAAACGTATTTGAGTGGTCGCCAATATCATCGGCTATACACATGTAAGGTCTTCACTGTCACTCTATGTTTCTCGTCATTCAGATTGTTTCAACTTACCAGGCTCCCGATCGGCATCGCAGCCTTCCTTGCGAGTTTCACCGGATCGCTCTCTCGGATCATCAGTCCGAAATGGATTATTCTGACAGGCATGTCTTTTTGCATGGTTGCGACCGTATTGCTGGCGCTTGGCGGGGGAAAACCTGAGTACTATTGGCCATACATATTCCCAGCTTTTTCTCTAGGTAGCGCAGGGATCATGCTGATATTTTCGCACACAAAGTAAGTTTAAATTATCGTAGTTTTATGAACACGTTTTGATTGCTGTAATTACAGTATTGCCATTTTTCAAGCCGCACCTTCGTCCATGACAGGCACAGTTGGTGCCATCTTTAACGGTGCTCTGGAATTTGGATCAGCAATTGGCCTCGCTGGTGTCAGCTCGATAGAGACATCCGTGGAGGCCATCCATGGGGGCTCACATGAGTATCAAGGACGAGCCGCGACATTTTGGTTCCTCTTTACGATTGTCTCTATCCAATTCATTTCACTGTTGATATTCTATGACCGGAGTGCGGACCACGCACCCCAACCAGAACACGGCGACCCCGGAAATCCTGCTCGACGGAGCACGGACTCTGACGAAAAGCTTAACGATACGAACGTGACCATGATCGAAAAAGCTGACCTAGCGTATCTGCCGGTGTAGGTTCTTTCTTGATGACTGTTACTTCAGACAACCATCTCCATTGATAATGTATTTCTTTTTACTACTTTCTCGTTCGTTACTATGTCGACTTGCAGAGTAGATGTGTTTTTGATTTCATCATTTGGGGCAGGGTAGACTTCATACTGTATTTTGTATATAATGTACCCGTTAACCATCTGGCCATGGGAATATCAGTGGACTGTATTGCAAATATATAATTTGATGGATGCCCATTTCCTAGCGCTGGGGCGAGCGGGGCCTGGAAAACACATTACAGGACATGGATGGAGACAACGGCAAGGGACAAATAGCATATGCCAAACGTTAAGCTTCTTACATCGAATACTTACCGAGTTCTTCAAGACCAGCTGGGCTAACATCTGGATACTGGTGGACACGTTTGACCACCATTTACTTGTCACTCAGCAAGACATGCATTTGGATACATGAACCTTTGTTATAAGGTAGACACACATCCAATACATATGTAGCGAGAAGATGGTATCAGAATGTGCCGCTTAAATTTGTTGCATCGTTTGAATAACAGTTAGGTGGGCGGGAGAAAGCGAGGGCGGGTGAGATGCATCATGCATCACAGTGCGTCGACCTGGAGGGGGCTGATGTATTAGCAAGCACGAGAAGAGATGGATTAGTAAACGAAGGGAGGGGTGCGTACCGACTCTTCTATTCTAATAACACCAAAAGACGATCACAGGTTCGTGTCATATCGATGCATTAAACAGCGCAACTATAGCGCTCTAGTGATGCGTGATCGGTGCAATTGTACTTCCCTTCGCTCTTGCTGATGCATCCACAGTTTCTTGTAAATAGCCGGCGTGAATAAGGTAGTCGTTGAGTAATGTGACCTGAAATTATATTGTCAAACTATGTGGCGGCCGACTCGGACTCACAGCAACAATTTACTTAACGTTGTAGTAATGCACAGAAGGAGGTAATCCAGAATATAAATCCTGCAGAACAAATTTCGATCGTCCGGATAGGCTATGAGCTGTTGACACGGTCGGTACAAGGCGTTTGCACTGGAGTATGACATTTGGATCTAAAACACTCACGCAATACGTCGACAGGTTCGTCGTGCATGAGGCCAATCAATTAAAGTCGGACCATGGTCGGTGGCGGTGGCAGTTGCACCATGGCCAGTGACGAGGAGTTGTGAATATGTTATGACTAGGAGTTCTCCAACTTCGTAAACTCGTGGCGGCGGCCGGGTTCCCTCACCGATATGGTACTAGATCGTAGACGTCAATAGTATATACTTGAAAACGCCTTGGGTTCCGAGAAGACCGTCCTCATGGCTGCAGCGTTCCCGGCTAAACAAAAATAAAAGCATTGTTAGTTCATGTGGTGTACTGACTAGGTAGAAGATGGAAAACGCACGTTGTCACACGTGACAGTATTGTCACGCAGGTTCGAGCGGGTGTCCGGCGGGTGCAGCGGCACAATCTTAATGTCTATCCATAGTATAATTGAAAATTATTTCTACTCTACAGATAAGGAGGTGAGTTGCTCCAAGTCACATCGACTCATGTTACTATGGATGGCCATAACTTGAAGGTGACGATGATTATTGGAACATCTGAATCTTTCGCCGTGACTCGGATCCCTGTGGTTTGACATTAGTAATCTGCGGCCGGGTTCTGCCAAACCGGTTGGCTAAATGGCTGGCTTCTGCTCAAAACATTGAATGTCCATGACTTCAATCTGTGGCAAGATTCCGAAGGCCAACAACAAATCTGTACGCGCTAGGTCCAGATGGCTTTTGCACCCAGGTCAATTCCTAAACTACATTTGCAATTGTAAGACACGACTTGAAGCATTGATGTCGCCGATCTACAAGCCGGTTTTGTGCACCTCAGACTCGGAATGTTGACGATGATCTTGCAGGTCCTGGATCTATATCACTTGACGCATTGCATCTGCACTACTAGAACGTGGGCAAGACGCCATGAAAGTTGGTTCACGACGAACAACATACGACCACACACGCCACTACCGTCTAACAGGACCTCTGACACCTCTGATGGGCCCCTGAAGGCCTGACTGCCTCCTGACTACAAGTCCCTGACCTAGCGAATGCAGTTAACGGAAATGAAGCGCTGTAGGGTTAAGATTATGATTTCGAGCGAGGCTTTTCACCGAGAGCTGCGGCCTGTTGACGATAACATCATGATCATACCTTACACAGTGGTGTGTGGACGCGCTAATGAGTCTTCTAATGGTGTCTACAATTAACTTGTGTCACCTTGCAGTGCTTTGAGAATTTTGTCAAGAAGTAGCGCACAATTGCCTGCAACGCCCAGCACCACTGACAGCCACTGAGATTCCTGTCTCTTCATCCCCAACGGAACTGAGAGTCCACGTCCAATTGGTCTGGGCCTTCACTGCGGGATTTAACTTCTTTTAACATATCTAAAATGTAAGTTCGGGTAAGACTCGTGCCACCCTCTTCCAAACCCACCCCTAAAGGCTGAGTGATTTTCCGTCCACCCTAAGGCTAGCCGTGCGGTTTGGAACGCAAAGTTGCGGAATGGTACCAAGAATCTGAGCATCACAATCCTGGGGCTGAATTTATTCTGCCGAGGCAAAGGACTCGTGCTTGTTTTTGTGACGTTAAGAGTGCGACGAGCTCGGAACAAAAGCTTGAATAGTAGTATGGCTCATACTCAAGTCTAAAGACACAGTAACCTACACTAATCAATGCAATAAATCTGTGCTCGAGTCCCGTTTGTGTAGTTGAACATAATCATCACAAGCTACATTATGATAATCGGGTATACAAATTTCCCGTGATGGTGTAAGAATTTCTGGGAGACCCACCGTAAGTCAAGCACGATGCAAGTCGTATGTCCGACTTCCCTCAATACAATCTCTCCAAAAAATGGTTTACATAGTAAGCTCATACTACACATGAATTCATGTGCTCACATGAGTAGAGCGCATAATCGAGATCTTCGCTGGTGTTGAGATGCGTCGCACTGTGTCTAAACGTTGGCCATGGAGATACCTCTTATAATATGAAGCCATTCATCCATTTTGACAGAGGGTTTTCCAACCTCTCCTTCATCAGCTGGTCGCTCCTGAACTGACAAACTGCAGTATCTTGTTTAGATGCTGCCACTCACGCCTCTCTCCTCTGCTGCAACGCCAGCTCATCATGAACCTAAAAAACTTTCCTTGACTCGCAGACTAACTTTACTTTTTATGTTCTGTCTCGCCCAATTCTTAGATGGCTTCAGTAACTCGGCTCTCTTCTCCGCAGTCCCTGTACTCGAGGTATCCATGGGTATGACTGAAAGTCAATCTACTTGGATCATGAGTGCATTCCAGTTGACCTTTGCATCTTTCCTGCTCATCGTGCGTGCTCATACTAATGATTTCGACCTTGCACTTCAGCTTGAACGCATTGTTTAGAGTGGCCGCATTAGCGATGTATATAACCCAAGTTAGTATTATGTCGTACCTGTCAGATAGCGACATTGATGAGCTCGCAGAAATCGCGTTCGTTGGAGGGGTATCCGGTCTTGGTGTCATCTCGTTGTGCGCTGGATTTATCCATGATACCATTCCGCTCATCGTTCTCAGAGCGTTGACTGGAATAGGTAAACATTCCCGCCGGTCTGACGGTTTTGGCTGACGAAGATCATTTCTCAGCTTCTTCGATGACAATCCCCTCTGCTTTAACGCTCCTGGTCAACGTATTTCCAGAACCGCTCGAACAAGCTCGCGCAATAGGGATATTTGGAGGCTGCGGCGGCGTCGCTAACGGTGAGAATTTCGCCTAGCTGATTGTCCATGATAGCTTCATGATTTCCTTCACAGTCCTCGGTCTCATAATTGGTGCAGTGTTGGTCGAATGGGCATCTTACCATTGGGTGTTCTGGTTTATAGCCATCGTGGCTATGCCAGCGGCTCTGGCATGTGTCTTCATCATACCACCAGAAATTTCAAACACCAAAGACAATCTTGAGCCTGGAGCAGCAAAATGGAAAAGCCTTGACTTACTCGGCGTGACCATCCTAACTGGTATGAATTTTCAGCATGCTCCACTTCGCATCTCTCACGAGCTCTGTTAGTTGCCCTAATTCTGTTCATTTTCGCTGTGACATCCGGCTCCACTGATGGTTGGGCATCTGCAGAAGTGCTTGTCCCATTGATCATATCAATCATGATGGCGATCACATTTTTCTATTGGGAAACACGCATACATGTGGACACAGCTGCAATGTATGTCATCAGGGATGCTTGCACCTACCACTGATCATTGGCTGATCTTGTACCAGACCACCTCGGACATGGTTTTACAACAATTTCTCGATTCTTTTTGCCGTCGCGCTCTTGCCATTGCTTTGGTGGTTCACAGTGTTCATGATCTTTATGACCCTGTGGCAAAACGTATTTGAGTGGTCGGCAATATCATCGGCTGTGCGCATGTAAGGTCTTCACTGTTACTATATGTTTCCCGTCATTCAGACTGTTTCAACTTACCAGGCTCCCACTCGGCATCGCAGCCTTCGTTATGAGTTTCACCGGATCGCTCTCTCGGATCATCAGTCCGAAATGGATTATTATGACAGGCCAATCTTTTTGCATGGTCGCGACCGTATTGCTGGCGCTTGGCGGGGGGAAACCTGAAGACTATTGGCCATACATATTCCCAGCTTTTTCTCTAGGGAGCGCAGGGATCATGCTAACATATACGCACACAAAGTAAGTCCAAACTGTCGTGGTTTCATCAACACGTTTCAATCGCTGTAATTACAGCATTGCTATATTTCAAGCCGCACCTTCGTCCATGGCAGGCACAGTTGGTGCCATCTTTAACGGCGGTCTTCAATTTGGATCAGCAATTGGTCTCGCTGGTGTCAGCTCAATAGAGACATCCGTGGAGGCCATCCATGGGGGCTCACATGAGTATAAAGGACGAGCCGCAGTATTTTGGTTCCTCTTGACAGTCGTCTCTATTCAGTTCATTTCAGTATCGATATTCTATGACCGCAGCACGGACCACACACCCCAACCAGACCACGGCGACCCCGGAAATCCTGCTCGACGGAGTACGGACTCTGACGAAAAGCTTAACGATACGAACGTGACCATGATCGAAAAAGCTGACCTAGCGAATCTGCCGGTGTAGGTTCTTTTTGATGACTGTTCCTTTAGACGACCATTTCCGTTGATGACACATGTCTTTTTTATTATTATCCCGTTAACGACCACACTGTGATGACCTGCAGGGTAGATGTATTTTTTATTTCATTATTAGAGGTAGGGTAGACTTCGTGCTGTATTGTTTTGTTAGACCCGCTACCCATCTGGCCATGAATATATCATTAGACTGTATTACACATATGTGAGAGACATACGATTGATGTGCTGATATCATAGGATTTGACACCGAACTTGGTTTGACCGGGTTGGATGCTGTTTGGATGAAAATGGGTGACTATAATTTCCTTTCAGGGCTGGTACTTGGTTACTACTTTCAGCCAGCCTGAGACGCAGCTCCCTCGGACCCTTGCGCCAGTCTCTGAACGACGACAATGAGTTCTGCATATCCAATCCAGCCGTCACGACAGTATACCCCCCACATACGCTCTCAGTGCGAGCACTGTAACGTTCAGGTTGAGTTTCCAGTGCCGTCTCCTACTCCGACACAAGGTACATTGTTGCGCGTCCGTTGCTTTAAGTGCCAATCAACCTATACACATGCGTTCTATTCTACGCAACTACCACCTGGTTACTCCACTATGTCGAGCTCAACGGCTCCACACAATCCGATGGGTTCTGGAAGTACTCCACCTTCAAATGTCAAGAAAGGTCGTAAGATCGGCACGCAGGAGAAACCTTTGGAAACAGGGTACTATGACCTTCTAGGTGTTCCAATAGATGCAAGCACAGATGATATCAAGAAATCATACCGTACGGCATACCTCGATTGATGATGATAGACTTCTCACTTACCTGCTTATCAAGGACGACTTGCAATAAAGCATCATCCTGACAAGAATCGCGATGACCCACACGCAGAGGAAAGATTCAAGGAGATTGCCATTGCGTATCAGACACTATCTGACTCAGAGCTCCGCAAGAAATACAACGAGTTCGGTCCCAAGGAGAGTCAGCCAGAAGGAGGTTTCGTCGACCCGGAGGAAATCTTTGGAGCGATGTTCGGTGGAGAGAGGTTTGCGCCAATAATTGGCCAGATCAGTCTTGCAAAGGACATGAAAGCTGCCCTACAAGAGGTGGAAGAAAACGAGGACGAAGACAACAAGGATGTGAAACGTGATGCAAAGGGTAAGGAGATCCTGAGCGAAGAAGAGAGGGCTCGAAAGGAGGAGAAAGAGAAGAAATTGGCGGCAGAGGTACTCCATTTCTTTTTCCGTTTCACAAAAATCTCACAACAGTGTTCTTAGAAAGCAGCAGCTCGTGCAGAACGAGTCCAGAAACTGTAAGATTTCATAATCTGCGACTCTGTGACATTAACGGCTTTTGCAGCGTGGAGAACCTCGGGCGGAAACTCAGCATATTTACCGAGTCCGCAACAAGTCCATATGACCCTGATGTTACAAATAGCTGGCGCACTATCTGCCAGCTTGAAGCGGAGTGCGTATACCATGCGCATACACGTTGCACTCGCTGAAATTATATTCCCAGGGATCTAAAGAAGGAGTCTTATGGTGTCGAGCTTTTGCAGGCCATAGGCTTCGTATATGTCTCAAAAGCAAAGCATTATCTTGCTACGAATCAGACATTTTTGGGAGTCGGTGGTTGGTTCCACAATGTCCAAGGAAAATACCACGTATTCAGCGAAACGTAAGTACCGAGAACTGTTAACGCTTTCTTAGATTGACACTAGGTAGTGTGTCAACACTGCGATCAGCAATCGAGTTGAAAAGCGTCTTTGATCAAATCGCAGCAGCAGAGAAAGCTGGAAACCTTACTCCGGAGGAGAAGAAGAAACTGGAAGAGCAGGCTGCTGAGAAAGGCATTCAGGCCCTTTTCAAGGTTCTTCATTTTCTATTCGATCCCATTGACACGTTTGACAACACTGTTAGGGCACGAAACTTGAAATCGAGTCTGTATTGCGCGAAACTTGTGATCGCGTGCTCGAGGACCTGACAATATCCCGCTCTAAAGCCCAGATGCGGGCTGTTGCGATGCAGATCCTCGGAGAGTCATACGTGGCTACGAGAAAGGACGTGGATGGACATCCAGACGAAAGTGAATACGTGAGGATAGACACAAAGAGCAGTCGAGAAAAAGACCGCCAACGTTCTTGATTCGCTCCCTCTGCGTTCGTTTCGCTATACCAAACAATGCATCTTACTCATAACTTACTTACTCCCACTCACCTAATCACTCTTCTCACTTCGTGCATATCCATGTCAATCATACATTCCTTGTGTCGTACTTCTCATACTCATGGCTAATTAAAATTATCCTAGAGCTCGCCAGCAGCGCCCGGCTGAGTATCTTCGCTGATAGGTGGCGGCGGTTCACTAGATTCGGTAGAGGTTTTGGTTACCTGAGCATTCTTGCCTTTCCCTGGCGGAGGCGGATGGTACACCTTTTCCTAGCATAAATGCTCAGTATGGGTATTGAATCGAGAGAGACGACCGACCTTTTTCTTCTTAGGTTCCGGTTTCGCATTTGGATCTGGGTATGCCAATTTCTCTATTTGTTGCCACTCTGGAGATTCAGCAAAAGCCTTCCGAATCGGCGCCAACAAGCTATCAATCGCCTTGTTTACAGCTGTCTTGAGATCACCAGGGTGAACCTTTTTCGCTGAAAAATCATCCTCCAGCTCCTGATAATCCTTGTAATGACTTGGAGGACCACCAAATTTGCCCTCTCGTCTGATGGTAAACACCGTCCCCTCCGGTGCGTCATCGTCTACAAATGGATTTTGGTCGCCAATGGCACCCTGGCCTTCTTCACTGTCCACGCCTGTCTCTCCCTTCCGACGCTCGATGCGAAGCTGACTTATCGGTATGAGAACAGCTTTAATAAACGCGAGAAGTCCGTTCTCTGTTATATTTCCCTCCTCGCAGAAAGCTTTCTTGATTTTGCGCTTGACAGCTTCGGGAGGGTCAAGGAAGTCTATCTTCGAATCTGGATCCGAAGATGACATCTTGCCCCCCATGAGACCTGGAACCATGGAGTTCATGAGGTGAGCACGTTTGGCATAGCCTAATCGAGGAAGATAGAGTTCTGCGAATGTGAAGATTTTACGCTGCAGCCAGGAGACGTCAATCGGTAGTCCATTATCTGATTCGCAGATGTACACACCTGATCAATTCCACCGAACTGGAAGTCAACGCCGAGGTACTGCTCATCAAGAGCCTGCAAACCAGGGTAAAGCAAACCACTGATAAGTGGACTCTCGACTTGCTTTACAACCTCGGCCCCAGCCTTCTTCGCATCATGCTCTGTCACGGTTGCGCACAATCTGTAGTTATCGAGGTTGTACTCGCGAGTAAGCTGGTAATCTGAGCCTTGAACAAATATTAATTTTGATGTGGGTATCCCTAATGAGGTGAAGACGGTGCGAAGGATAAATTCGTAGTATTTTGTCCGATGTGCGACAAGTTCTAAGGGAGCCTTTAGGTTGTCGAGGAAAGCGTGTACATCTGTTGAATCTTATTCAGTAACTATTTCTCGCATAAAGGGGTGTTGTTTGACGTACCAGCAAGTAAGATCTTGACCTCCACACCAGCTCTCAAGAAATCAGCGATTTTGGTTAATGGGACGAAGTAACCGATGTGCGCTAGAGGGCATCTTAGTTATCGGCTTGATTTGGCTTGGCAAGAATATTATACGTACGCCGTCCAGTCGGTGCGGTACCTAGTCAACGCATGGAGGATCAGTTTGAATATTCGATCAGAACTGAGCGGGCGTACCCCAGTAAGCCTTTGGCAGTCTACCTTCTGCGAGAATAGCCTTGATCAAGTCACCGCCCAGAACCTCTTGCACCCTCCGCGTGATCAAGTCATACTTTGCCCCTACATCCAACGTCGACGCCATGCCTGTGATGTCGAGGGTTTGAGTGTTAGTTCAAGTGAATATGAGTCAATATATGACTCACAACTTGTAAGTCACTGCCGCTTTTGCCTAATGTGGCAGCGATTCGGCGATAACAACATTGCTTGTGATCCCCATTCACGCATAGAAAAATAGCAAAAACTATGATCGTCGGATTTCAAACCTTATTCACATGTGTGTTTAAACGGGGAAATTCTACATATACAGATCCAGGTGCCACTCATCAACAACGCACGTAGCGGTTACGAGGGTTAACGCGGTGGAGAGAAAGGTGAAAGATCCAATGGTTGAAACGTTAACGCCTCACTCATACAATATTATCGTCGATGTTGTTGCTTAGCTTGGAGCGCAGATGGGGGCATACATCAGGAAACCGGCGAGAAGAAGGTTTTTATAGATATAAATGGCAAATTCAGATCACATGTTTACTGAGTTATACCTAAAGATAAAGCAAAAAATAATCACAGCATGATGGCATCGAAGGATAAGAATTTGCAAGAGAAAAATAATCCTGACGAAGATATACATCTCTCGCAATTGTGACATATGATAGATAAACTGTTGCAGGAAGTCCAGCTGCTCTCCAGAATAGTGGTCATCCTTTGCCTCAAATGAACTTCATGATGGCCGTTGGCAATGCCAACCAAGCAGCAATCATGCACTACAAAATACATGTAATGATGATACCAAATGATTGTCAGTCATAGTTGTGATATGTCTAAGATAATGTATTGCCAAACACGAGCAGTATGGTTACCTACTGTCTAAGCTGAACTTTGTGATGGATGTTTACATTGACAACGAATCAGTAATCATGAGTTGCAAAATCAACGGAATACTGATATCAATTGGTCGTGCTTCAAGCAGTATGGTTACCTACTGTCTAAGTTGGACTTTGTGATGGATGCTTACACTGACAACGAATCAGTAATCATGAGTTACAAAATCAACGGAATACTGATACCAATTGGTCGTGCTTCAAGCAGTATGGGTACCTACTGTCTAAGCTGGACTTTGTGATGGATGCTTACATTGACAACGAATCAGTAATCATGAGTTACAAAATCAACGGAATACTGATATCAATTGGTCGTGCTTCAAGCGGTATGGTTACCTACTGTCTAAGCTGGAATTTGTGATGGATGCTTACATTGACAACAAATCAATAATCATAAGTTACAAAATCAACGGAATACTGATATCAATTGGTCGTGCTTCATAGTTTTGCCAGTGACTTATATGTCCAAGATAATATATTGCCAAACACAAGCAGTGTGGTTACCTGCTGTCTAAGCTGGACTTTGCGATGGATGTTTAGTCGTGCCTCATAGTTTTGCCAGTGACTTGTCTAGCGCAACTTGAATGCCTTAGCAAATAAAAGCAGAACAGTCATTCACATAGTAAAGTTACAAACAAATCTACAGAGTATCCATCAAATATGTCACATTCAAGCTCTGGTATTGACCGAGGCTCGGATCATAAACGCTACGATTGCAGAGGTTGTGGTGGGCGTATAGTGCATGAGTCAAACTATCTACTGGACGGAAGCAAGAATAATGACTGCACTGCATGAAATGGATGGCAAGCGTTGCAAATGAGGTATCAGTCGGATTCAAGAGACTGACTGCAGACAGGAGTGACGGAACACTGGGAGAGTGTGGCAAAAATTATGAAGTGCGCTACAGACGCGGGTAAGCGAACGAGAAAGGGATTCAAACATGAAAGATACGTGCCAATCATCACTCTAAGTAGAAGTAGCTACCCAGATTGCGGGTATCAAAAGTGGTATTGTCACTGTTCTGGTCTGTAAACAAAACGGGTCATAAGATACGACAATTTCAGGAGAGTACGAGCGACGTTTACTAGGTCGAAGGTGACGTCGATCCCCTTGTCATCGTAGTCCAAACCAGTAAGCGAATCCTCTCCTTCTGTATGACAAGGGACCTGGCACAGCACTCGTTGAGCAGGACAGTGAAGTGTTTGGTATTGAGCTGGAGCGTAGCAAAGACTGTCGAGTGAGCTCAATGAAGGTTTGCGTAGGAGAGATGCACATTTCAACACCATCGAGGGCATGATCATAGCGGAGAACAGTAGAAATAGTCCTGTACTTCGCGCCCGAGTCTAGGAGTCTGTCTCTCCCTAATAGAACGCGTTGGAAAACCGGTCCAGCCCTGTGCATGGACTTCGGTCATGCCCAAGCGAAATAGAGGTGGTGGTGGACCTACCCGCTTGAAAAACCGAGCTGCAGGCAAAGA